GCCGGCACAGGGCCGCAGGTGGCTGTCCCAGACGCCGGAGCGCGGGGTGCTGAGCCGCCGAGCCAGCCGGCTCCCGGCCGCCTCATTTTTAGCCTGCATGTAGCTAGTGTGTTCGCGTGTATGCATGCATGCAGGTTAGTGTTTTGAGGCGGCGACTCACTATGCAGTGCAGGCTAACCTCGGAGTAGGGGAGCCCCCTGCCTCGACCTCCCGACCGCCGGCAGGACAGGTGCGCGCCACCGCGCCGGGCTGCGGGGTGTGTTTGAAGGCTTCTGAGACAGAAGTGACGTCAGGGGCGTCGCTGTTTAGTTGAGCCGTTTGTGTGCAAGGCTGTGTTGTCTTCCCATGAGGCTCGGGCTTTTCCCGCGGATCTGTGACTCTTCGTACTGGGACATGCAGACGCTGGGGAGGAGGAGGCTGCTGGGGCGAGCTCCCTGCGTGATCGGCACGGGCTCGCCTCCTGCGGCCGTGTGGGGAGCCTTTGGGTTTCAGGACTGTGGTGACCTGTCACGTGCTCGCGTGCGCGCGCGTGTGGAGTAGATCACCTCCTGCGCGGTCTCAGTAGGCACAGTAGGACCCCAAATTACCGTTCACAGGAAGTCAGACGGGTCGCAACAGACCTCCCTTGCAGGCGGCGCTGTTCCTCTGCCCCTTTGGTTTATCTGTTTCTGTCTTGTGGTTTTTCTTCTTTGGGCGAGGGAGGAATGAGTGGGGGTTTCTCTGTGCCGGCCAGAATGACCTTGAACTCACTCCATAGCCCAAACTTGAATTGTGGCGATCTTCCTGACTCAGCCTCCAGCTGGCCCCTGTCGTCAGTTCTGAGATCCTTCTGTGGATGAGATGGGGATAAGGGTCAGGAGCTGGACGCCGCCTGAGCTCTTCTGCTTGGCCACCGTGTTTGTGTAAGATTAGCGCCGACACCTTATCTCAGTTGTGTTCCTGTGAGTCCACCTCATAGGGCGGAAAAACCCGCCTGTCCCTGGGGGTTCTGACCTGGCACGACCCAGCACCTCCCGCTGCCCTGGGTCAGGGCTGGCCTTCTGATCTGCTTTATGATTTCTTTTTGATGAGAAATGAAAAATTTCTTGGTCAAACAGATGTTTTAAAACTACTAAGCCAGAAGCTGGTCTGGTGGCCCCGCCTGTAAGCCCAGCAGCAGGAGCAAGGAGTTCTGGCCTGCACTGCATAGTAAGACCCTCTCGGTGCCCACAAAGGGAGCTCAGCACCCACCCCCGTCAGTGCCTAGGTTTGTTGAATGACTGCCCACAGGCACCAGCATTTGCCGTGTTCCTGGATAGCTAGCCCAGTGAGAGCGAACAGAGCAATGCCTCTGTGGGGCGCAGCAGCACGCTTGCTTTGCACTGAAGCACCCGGAGTCCTGGCTCCGTGCTTGGGAGGCTGAAGCGGGAGGCCCTTCCAGCAACTGATCCACATCTCTGTCTGGGGTCAGTGGGGAGCCTAGTGGCGGCCCATGCTGCACTCGGCCATCAGACTGCAGTGGAGAGTGCGTCCATCTCCTCCGTTCCCTGCCCTGTGTGAGAGAGGGGTGCCATCCCGGTGCTGCCCCATGACTGCAGGACGCAGGGCCGCTCATCTCGTTTCTCCGGCAGGAGCAGCTGTCTCATCTCGTGACCCCGAGCTGAGTCTTCCAGGGTGACTGGCAGCCATGTGTGATTCACACAGAACGGGACAGGCAGGAAAAAGTGGGCTGGCAAGAGTTCACAGACAGGTCCCACCCAGGCCTGCAAGAAGTGCCCTGTGCTCGGACTGACACTGGATGGGCAGCTTTATTTTTATTTACTTATTTAGGCTTTTTTGAGACAGACTCTCTTTGCATTTTCAGGCTGGCTTTGGGCTGTCTGTGACTCTCCTGCCTCAGCCTCCAGCGCGCAGGATGACAGGTGCACACCCCACACCTGGCCCAGTCCTCATGCCTAGGGGTACAGAGGGCACAGGCTGAGCGGGGGGTCTCACCCATGATCTAGGAGGCAAAGGGGTGGGCTTGTTGCCATGCCCTGACTTGGGGTGCTGTGAGGGTCCCGGCTGCCCTGTCCCTAGCCAGCCTTGTAGAATGCCCAGAAGGTCAGCTGCATCGGTCAGGGAGAAAATGTCATTGGGCAAGGTGGGGCCCAGGGGGTCCCTAAAGTAAGAGTGTGGGGGAGCCCAGCCTGCTACAAAGGAAGTACCTGGGTTCCACAACTGCTGTTTTTTTTTTTTTTTTTTTAAGTTAAATTTATGTATCTGGTACAGGATCTTACTCTACAGCTCAGAGGCCGGGCCAGCACAGCGTGCTGTGCCAGGTATCGAACCCAGTCCTGGTGCTTGCCAGGCCGGGCTGCCACTTAGACTGCTGAGCTATTTCTGCAGCCCCTGACTGCTATTGCACAAAACTTAGAGGACCAACAGTCAGAGGCTGGGAAGGGTTCTGTGAGGCAGAAATGAAATCCGACACACTCAGCCAGGCGTGCTGGTACAGCCCTACATCCTGGCTCTCAGGGAGGCTAAGGCAAGAGGAGTGGGTGAGCTCAAGACCTGTCTGGGCTGCACAGTAAAAATAGGAGGTGCACTTCTCAGCTGGCAGCGGAAATAGACTGTGTGTGCTGCTGCCCTTGGTGGGTGCAGGAGTGTGGATGGACGAGGCCAGCTGGGTGAGTCCTGACCCGTGACCGCCTGATGCCGCCATGGTAGCAGGGGTGGAAGCTGAGCTGCAGAAGGACTTGCAGCTCTTGCTGTCACAGAGGCGCCACAGGGATCATGAGCCTGGCCCTCTCGTTGCCCCCTGTGCCTGACCCTGCTGGGCACCTGGATGTCCTGGTGGTGGCAGGCGTCTCAGCTGTGCACCTCCAGCATGTCCTCATGGGCGTGACCAGGGGACTCCTGAGCTGCTGCGTAGCACCGAGGTCACTGCCTGACTTCACAGCCGGCTGATGGACCAGGTGTGACCCTTGAGGCCAGGGCTCGGCCCCCATGGGGTCCCCCACCCCCTCCCCAATGTCCCACCCACTGATCCGAGAAGTAGCTGCAAGAAGGGGCAGCCTGCAGAGCTGCTGCGTTGGAGAGAGGTGGCTTCAGCACCTGGGAGGGAGACTGAGGCAGGAGGACCAGCCTGGGCTTCATAGTGAGACCCCCGTCTCAAGAGCAGGGCTGGGGGTTCTGGGGGAGGAAATGACTTGGAGGGGTCAGGGACTGGGGGTGCAGGAGACATTTTTCTCACTGTGCCCAGGGCCCGATCATGAGGGACTGGTAGAGATGGGAGGCTCGAGATGCGGGGGTTCATGTGTGAGTGTCTTGGAGATCTGGGGGGGCCTCTATGACAAAGACTGCCCCAAGGGCACTGGGACCAGCCTTTCTGCTCCTGGCGAGCCACGATGTGCAGCCTCTTACTTATTTATTTGCTCATTTCTGTATTTAGGCTTGGTCTCCTTGTGTGGTCCATTCTGGCCCTGAGCTCAGCTGAGTTGCTCAGGCTGGCCTCTAGTACAGGGACCCTCTTGCCTTAGCTTCTCCAGTTTGGGACAATAGGCCTATGTCGCCACACCCCGCTCCTTTATCAGGTCTTAGATTACAACAGACATTAGTTATACTCCTGACTCTTCTTTCCTCTTCTTCTGTCCTAGGTGGTGCTGGAGTGGAGCCGGGACCAGTACCATGTCCTGTTTGACTCCTACCGGGACAATGTTGCGGGGAAGTCCTTCCAGAGCCGGTGAGCTCTGTGTGGGGGTGTCCGCGCCTACCCTGATAGTGAGGTGGGGTGGTCCTTCCAGGTGGTGCAGGGCCTTCCCTGAGTGAGCAGCCTGCCTATCTGCAGGACCCTACTGGGGACCCCACGTGATGGGAACACCTTGCTGTGGAGAGCTCTAGGCCTGGCGTGCTGTGCGCCCACAGGTGTAGGCCTGCCATGTGGCCCAGCTATGAAGTGCTGGGTCAGAGGTGACCCGGGCAGCTGATGGCCACCAGGCTCACGGCACCGTGGCCTGTGGCAGCCTGGGTCTCCGGGTGCCCCTGGGGCAGCTGCTGGGTCCCTTCCACGTTACGTCTTCAGGGTTTTCCTCCTGCGCAGCCAGGCCTTGGCATGACACTGTCCCTCCATCTTCTTCCCCTGCAGATTGAATGAGGCTCTGCTCCTTTTCTCTTTTCCTGCGCATGCTCACTTACCCATCATTGAAGCAACACAGTGGTGCCTTGGTGCACAAACCCAGGTCGTTCTACAGTTAGGCGCAGGTGGCCTCATTGGTGTTTGTGCAGCCTGGTGTTATTCTTCACCCGACGCAGTTTGCAAGCAAAAACAACATTGTGTCCAGCTTCTCTGCTTGTGCACCAGGTGGCTTATAAACAGGATCTTTTCTTCCAGTCCTAAGATCGCCTGGGAGGCCTGGCCCTGACCTTGGAGCCCCAGCCCTGATCCTTTTTATTTTTATTTTTTTTGTTTTCTTGAGATAGGATTGCTGTGCAGCTCAGGCTGCCCTTGTAGTCCAGGCTGGTCTCACACTCACACTGTCCTCCTGCCTCAGCCTCGCAGTGCTGGGATCACAGGTATATGGTACCATGCCCAGCTCCCCTAACCCTTTTTAATGATTTATACATTTATTTCAGACAAGGTCTTGCTGTGTAGTCCAGGCTGACCTTGAACTGGTGATCCTGACTCAGCCTCCTGGACGCGTAGATGAGTGGCTGCACCGCCATGACCAGCCCTTTTGTATTCTTGGACAGTCTTGCTAAGTCACTAAGTTGCCCAAGCTGGGCCGGATCTTGCAGTCCTCTGCCTCACACCCTGTGTCTCGGATGACCTTGTGTGCCGCCACACCCACCGCCCTGCCCAGCTAGGCACTGCTCTTGGTGAATTTTTGCTTCCTTCAATGTCGTCTTTGTTATTTAAACTGCCCAACCCAAACCTCTCCGCAGTGCTTCCCCCCCCCCCCCCCCGGGGATTGAACTCAGGCCCTTGCGCTTGCCAGGGAAGCATTTATTCCACTGAGCCGTCTCCCCAGCATGTTTATGCAGTTCTTGATGCCGTCTCTCTAACCTTGCCTAGCTCCCCACGCTGATACCCGTGAAGGTCACTAGTGACCTGGCTGCCCTGGGGCACATGGAGGGCGTCTGCTGAAGAGACCTTCATCTAGGCCCAAGCCCAACTGCAGAGCTTGCACCTGGCTTCCTTGTTTGCTGGGCTCAGTTTCTGGTGGGTGTCAGCCACCAGCAGGTGTGACGCTGCTGTGGACGTGACACTACAGAGCCAGTCCCCTTCCTGACCCTTTCTGACCTCTCCCCTTGAGCTGCGTCGCGCTGCACTCCCCGTGCGCCCGAACGGCCACAGACTGTGGACTGTGGATGTTTTCAGAATGCTAAGAGGTTCCTGGTCACTGCCCTAGGCTGTGCCTGCCTGTGCCCATCGACGTGGTGTACACCTGGGTGAACGGCACTGACCTGGAGCTGCTCAGGGAACTGCAGCAGGTCCGCAAGCAGATGGAGGAGGAGCAGAAGGCCATGAGGTGAGGCGGGCTGTGTTTCTTTCATGTTCTTTGAGACAGAGTCTTGCTGTGTAGTTCAGGTCCTCTACCTCACTGTGTAGCCCAGGCTGGCTCAGACTGGAAGAGATCCTCCCGCCTCAGCCTCCCAAGTGCTAGGATGACAGGCATGCACCTCATGCCTGCAGTTTTCATTTTTAAAATGGTGATTTTTCTAGGCGCCAGACTTACTGCTCTCTCCTGCCACCAGCTCCCCAAGAGCCTTTGCAGGGAGTCCTCACCCCTTCTGGGTCAGCATGGGCAGGCACCCCAGGCCAGGGCCTGGGCGCCTCGTTCTGCAGCAGATTCTATGTTGGGGTCCGGGGATGCCCCAGGGTGCAGTGGTGACTTACCCTGGCTCCTTGCCTGTGGCGGAGCACCTACGCTAGGACTGTAGTGGTCACAGTGGCACATGACTGATGTGTGTTAGTTCCAGTGGGGCAGCCAGGATGGTTGGGCTGGCAGTGGGCCCAAGTGTTGACAAACTCTGTTTATCTTTCCGTAGAGAAATCCTGGGCAAGAACATGACAGAACCCACAAAGAGGAGGTAAGGCTTGAGCTCACTTGGAGAGAAGCCGAAGGCTGAGGTGCAGCCCTTGTCGCCTATCCCCAGGCACATGGGGCTCTGTCACTGCCTGCAGCCAGCCCCCCTGCGGAGTTCATTGCTATGTAGTCTGGCTAACCTTGAACTTGTGCTGATCTTCCTGCCTCAGCCTCCAGGGTGTGGGCATTACAGATGTACGTCCCCACACCCAGCTCCTAAACATCTTTGTATGTGAGATAGAATGTCTTTATGCTGAAGCCCTGATTTAGGGAACAGCCTACAGAAAAACATGGCCCAGAGCAGCTTGTGGAAGCAAGGTGTGGTGGCGGGTCCTGGTATGCGGGGACACCCTGCGCTTGCGTCACATGCGTGTCCCCGCAGCGAGAAGCCACTCGAATGCCTGCTCACCCACTGCGTCAAGGTGCCCATGCTGGTCCTGGACCCTGCGCTGCCAGCCAACAGCTCCGTGAAGGACCTGCCAGGCCTGCACCCCTCCTTCCGCATGGCCAGTGACCTCTTCCACGTGGCCAAGCCCAGAAACCCTTCCACCAACGTCTCTGTGGTCGTCTTTGACAGCACGAGGGATGGTAAGCACATCTGTGGATGCTGAAACCACATTGTTGCTGACGTGGGTTGGCAGAATTCTGAATGGATGGAGAGGATCTGTGTTAAATGTCTTGTAAGCTAAAAGCCCCAGCGGGAAGGGGAAGGGCTGGTGCTATGCTGCCTGCGGGTCCCCAGGCCCAGTGAGGGCCCGCGTGACTTCTCTTGGCTTCTCGGGAAGCATGCCCACTCGGGGACCCTCCTCCGCCCCCGTCCTGCACCAGTGATCCCAGGCCACTTCCTGCCCATGGCTCTGCCGCAGGGCTGTCCTGATGCCTGTGCACCTTGCAGTCCGGCCGGTGTGGTCAGCTGTGTGTAGCTGCTGCAATGTGCGGCCTCCGGGCCCATCTGGGCAGCAGTAGAATGTGGGAGCTCGGCAGTGAGTCTTGTGCAGGGCGCCCTGCTGGAGGCAGCTGTGGGCAGAGCCATCTGTGCCCAGGGCCTGCAGGCCCCGCCAGGCAGCTGCGCCTGATGTCCGCCACCAGAAGCACTAGGCCACGGCAGGGCTAAGTTCTGATGGATCTGTGTCCCCAGGACTGGGCACACATCTCTGTGGCAGAGCATTTGCCTGGAGGGCACAGGGCCTGGGCTTGACCTCAACCCTGGGAAGCCCGTGGGAAATGCGCCCTCTGTTCCAGGGTTCGCCAGGGGGATGTGAGTCCCTGCGTGTGGCTGAAGACATCTTGGAGCCTTCACACTTGTCCAGGTTCTGCTGGACCATCAGTGCATTAACACAAGTGTGCCCGTGTGCCCGTGTGTGTGTGTGTGTGTTTTGTAGAACATAAAAGCTGAGCCAGAAGTGGGGAGGGAAGTGACAGAGTGACAGGGGCAGCTTCACAAGCTGGGAAGGAGAGGCGCGAGCAGACAGTGCAAAGGCCCTGGGGGGGGCAGCGAGAGGAGGTGGGGGGCTTTGACCCAGTGCCAGGATCTCAGTTCAGGAGTGGCGTGGTCTGGCTCAGGTTCCAGAGGGGCAGAGTGACAGCCGGGGCAGGAGCAGGTTGAGGCAGCCATGCCCGTGTGGGAGGTGATTGCCGGGCTCTGGACGTGCACAGGGTTTCCTGTTATGTCTGTCGGGGACGTCACTGCCCTTGGTCTAAAGGCAGGAAAGTGGATGGAAATGCAGTTGTGGGCAGGGCACACTGCCAGCTGTGGCCCCCAACTCTAGAGCACCGCTGTGCCCAGTGCTCGGTTCCTGCACGAGTGTGAGCTCTTGCTGGACGTTTCCGAAGCCAAGCTGATGCACCTCCCTTTGTGTGCAGATTCTGTCTTGCTGGAGTGGACTCATTGCTCTGCATGGTCAGGTGCTTGGGAACCTTTGGCCTGTTCCCAAGTGACCCGAGCGTCACGGCTTTGTGATCAGTAGCCTGGGGCAGGGCCGCTGGTTACAGCGCACCCACTCAGGCATCCAGCTGCATCCTGTGGGCAACTGGTGTGTGCCGTTAGGACTGTGCACACAGGTAGGGCAAGAGGGTTCTGTCCACCATGTGGGGCCCAGTGTCCACGAGAGTCTGATGTATTGTGGAATGAACCTGCACTCCAGACACCTGGTGCACCTTCTAAAAGCATTTCACAGCCACTTCTCCAGCGTGCACGTACATGCCTGAGAGTGTGTGTGCGTGTGCGTGGGATCATGCGTGTGTGTATGTCTTTGGCCACTGCTACCGCTGCCAGGGCCTCAGACCCACAAGCTTGTACGTGCAGCAGTCACTGCTACAGCCCTGTCCTGCTGGTGCTTTTCCCAAGTGTCCTGGAGCCCTTCCCCAGGGTGGCATCTACCTCCCCACACTTTGCAAAACCTATAGAGAGGGGCTGGTGCGATGGCTCAGTGGTCTAGAGCACCTACTTAGAACAAGCTTAGCAAATCACAGGGACCACGGTTCAATCCCCCAGCACAACATGCCAGCCAGCCCCGCCCCCTGGTGGGCTGAGCTGGCCCCCCCCACACACACACATAAATAAATAAAATTAAAAAAAAAAGAACAAACCTATAGAGAACCCTTCCTGGTCCTCATCTTGGTCCAGGAAGTTTATATTTGTAATCCCATGGATAAGTTGTTGGAATCCTGTCAAGTTAATTCCAGTCTACCAGTGCACGCCTGGTGAGAATAGAGACACCAAAGCATGTTTAGAGTTGTGGGGAGCCAAGGGATCCTAAGTCCAGCCGTGGTGATGGCTACCTAGAACAAAGGCCTTGGCCCAGGGCCCAACCTGGGTTTTATTTAGTTATGAACAAAGGAGGAGTGGCTTGAAGATGCTGTACTGAGAATGGCAGGAAGTAGGTGAGTGCTGTGAGCTGGGCTAGTAGGATTGTTGTGGGTTTTTTGACGGAACCAGGGATTGAACTCAGGCCCTTGCGTTTGCCAGGCAAGTGCTTATTCTACTGAGCCATCTCGACCCAGCAGGATTGTTGTGGTAGGCGTGTGCCTCATCTCTGCTGCCTGCATGGGTGTCTTGTAAGATGCAGCTGTTGCATTTTTTTTTTTATTGGTGATGATCACATGCATTGTGGGGAGCTGGTACCCACGTGTGACGCCCAGATGCTTCAGGGACGGGGCTGCGGGTTCCCTGTCCTGGTGCGCTCTGCACTGTGCTTCGAGGTCCAGTGGGTTCCCTCCATTCCTGCCAGCTGCTCTTCCTAGGACCAGGGCTGTGCTTCTGGTGTCACGGCTGTGCTCTGTCTTGCAGTGGAGGATGCCCACGCTGGACTACTTAAAGGAAGCAACAGGCAGACGGCGTGGAGGGGCTACCTGGTACGTCTCGCTGTGGCTTTGTTCTAGGCTGGAATGTGAGGTCAGAGAGACAAAAGTGGATGTTTAGGGCTGCTGAAAACATGCTGGCATAGCGGGTGCGTTGCCGTGAATGGCCCACCCCTCCCGTGTTCTCCGGGCACACTCTTCCTCTGTTCTCCCCACCTCCTGCAGCAGCTCTGGGGGGCCTCTTTTGGTAATGTTTGTAATTGTGCTGTCCTGGCTCCCTTGATGCCCTGGACTGATTTAAAACATGTCCTTTTAACTGGGGGGAGCCGGCAGTCACACTGCACCAGGCGCAGGAGTAAGGCGGATGAAGACATTCACGATTGGACTTTAAAAAGTGCTGCACACAAGTGTGGACCACTGTGTCTGAGGCCGGCCATGTCTCCATCCTCAGTCCTCCATCCTCCGCCCTCCGTCCTCTGTTGTGTCTTCCATCCTCTGTCCTCCATCCTCTGCTCTCAGTCCTCCGCCCTCTGCCCTCCACCCTCCATCCTCCATCCTTTGTCCTCCGCTCTCCATCCTCTGTCCCTGGCTCCCACGGTGGCGGGCCACAGAAGGTGAGCTGGACTTCCAACTCTCTCCCTCTAGACCACCGACAGAGAGGTTCCCGGGCTGGTACTGATGCAGGACCTGGCCTTCTTGAGCGGCTTCCCGCCGACCTTCAAGGAGACGAGCCAGCTGAGGACCAAGCTGCCTGAGAGCTTGGCCACCAAGATCCGCCTGGTGAGAGCAAGGGTCCTGCCCGGGCCTGGCCCCAGCTGCCCCAGCCCCTTCACCCGCATTGGCGTTGGGGCAGGAGAATGGTGTTCCCCACCACAGAGATCTTCCCTTATGCCTGTCTTTGTGCTGCTTTGGTTTGTTTCATTGGCAGCACTGGGGACCCAGTCCGCCTGGGGCTTCAAGTGCACCGTCACCAAGCAATAGCCCCAGCCCTTTTTTTTTTTTTTAAATTTTTTATTTATGTGTGTGTGTGTGTGTGTGTGGCCAGCTCAGCCCACCAGGGGGCGGGGCTGGCTGGCATGTGGTGCTGGGGGATTGAACCGCGGTCCCTGTGCTCTGCTAAGCTTGTTCTAAGTAGGTGCTTTAGACCACTGAGCCATCTCACCAGCCCCCCCAGCCCTTTTTGTTTTTTATATTGACATGGGTCTTTTTTTTTTTTTTTTTTTTTTGCGGTACTGAGGATTGTTGGACTTGGGGTTTCACACTTGCTGGGCAGGCACTTTTGCTGCTGAGCTATGTCCCCAGCCCCACGCGAGGTCTTGCCGAGTTGCCCAGCCTGGGCTTAGAGCTCTTCCGGGCTCAGCCTCCTGATTGGCTGGGAGCGCAGGCAGGCACTTCCACTGTGGCCGCTCTCTGCCTGTAGGTAAGATGCTAGGGTGCTTACCCGGTTGGCTGGTTGCCTGATGGCAGCCAGGCCTCGGGTTTAGTACGGGAACCTCTAGTGTGCATCCGGTGAGGGGGCCGTGTTGGCCCCGTGTCAGGTAGCCCTGCAGAGGGGACAGGAGGCCTGGGAGGAGGAGGGGCTGAGGGTGCAGGGAGGGTGCGGCGCAGGGAGCACACCTGGCCTTTACAAAAGCTTCTGCTCATGGATGGATGGTGCTTCCGACCTTGCTGACGCCTGAAGTCTCAGCAGTCGGGGCTGAGGCAGGAGGATCACTGAGTTGGAGGCCAGCCTGAAAACCATAGTGAAACTCTGTTGCAAGGAAACAAAAAAGCTTTCCAGGGGTCTCCTGTTGCTGCCCCTGCCATCATGTTCTGTGGAAGCAGTACTCGGTCTAGGTGTCCTGGCTGAACTGCAGCTCTGTGGGTGGAGAACAGCGAGCGAGTGGGCGAGCGCACGCCCACCCCAGCCCCCAACCCCGCCTCAGGGTCCCGGCCCTTCTCTCCCCCTGTTGTCAGGCAGAACATCTGGGGTAGAACTGGAAGGTGGGGCACTGGGGCCCTTTGGTTCAGCCTGAACCAAGATTTCAGTAGCCCCACACAGCTTCCAACCTCCTTTCCACCTGTGTGTTGTTTTCAGTGGCGCCATCTTAGCTTGGCATGGTGGTGACATGGGAAGTAATGACTCCCAGCCTGCTAGATGTCACCTGCGCGTTCCCTAGAATTGAATGAATTCTATGGAACAGTGAAGTGAAGAGTAGGAAAATGATAGTGAGGCAGCAGGGGCCCGAAAGTGGCTCCTTGTGGCCCACACTTCTCAGTGGAGTTCTGTAGAGCAGAACCCTAAGGTGGGTACAAGGTGGGGCGAAATTGCATCGGCCAATAGGATTACAGGAGAGCCGCTGAGGTCATGCTGACCAGCTTGGAAGCAGGTCACACAGGTGGTGAGCGTGGAGGGAGCAAGGAACTGCCCCGGAAGGGATGGGTCGGGAGTCCCAGCCACGCACCTGCTGACTGCTCTTTACCTAGACGGTATTGGACTGGGAGATACCAGTGACAGTACAAGCTCAGGTTTTTGCTTACTCCCGGGAAGGCTGTAGCCCCGGCTTTACACCTGCATCCTGAGCCCAGGCTTTCCCCCCATTGTGATGCGCTCTCATCCTCTGCACTGACTCCCCGAGGGCCAGCCCTGCCTGCCTGCCTGCCTGCCTGCCTGCCCAGAGTACCTCGCCAACTTAGCTGTCTACTGTAGTGGCACCCACCTGTGATCCCAGCGCTGGGAGGCTGAGGCGTTGGAGGCCAGCCTGGGGAACATAGCGAGATGCAGGAGTAGGAAGATGTGCTGAGTTGTTCTGCAGTGCAGTGCTAGTGTGAGTGACACCTAGGGTTTTCTTTTCTCTTGGTTTTCTCCTGTCTTAGTTTCTTTCCTTGTTTCTGAGACACATACCCGGCTCAGTATGAATAGCCTTCCTTGGGCCACAGTGCTCCCTGGCTGCCGGCATTGCCTGTCTTGAGTCCTGTGTGCGCCGCCTTGTTTGGGGGCAGCAGCTGGGGTCCCAGCCGCTTTGTGCAGGTGGGAGCCCCCACGACCTCCAGTGGGAGGCCGGAGTGTCACCTGGGCATCGTCTAGCTGCCCCTGGTGACCGCCGGCCTGGGAGGGAGGAAGAGCAGGATGGATGCCTTTGACCCCACCTCTGCTCAGGTGCATGGCCCACCTGGGGCTTATCTAAGGGAGCTGCCTGTCCCTACTCTAGGGTGCAGCTATGACTAGGGCTGCCTGAGTGTATAAAAGCAGTTTTGTGGGTGATCACTTCCAGGTAAGATTTTTTTTTTTTTTAGGCAGGATCTTACTATGTAGTCTAAGCTGGCTGGCCTTGAACTCACTGCCATTCTCCTGCCTCAGCCTCACGAGAGCTGGGATGACAGGCATGCCTAGTTAAGTTTGTTTGTTGGTTTGTTTTTGCAGTAGTGGGGATTGAACTCAGGATCTTGTGCTTGCCAACCAAGCACTTATTCTACTGAGCTATCTCCCCAGCCCTTTCATTAAGCTTTTTTTAAGCAAAGGCATTGTGAGAACCCTGATGGCCACCTAGGAGTGGCTTAGGCAAAAAGTGCATGGGTTTTTGGGAAACCGAGGCAACAGCTCCAAGGGGCCAGAGCATGCACAGGGCTCCTGTGGGGGGCCAGGCGGAAGCCAGGCTGGGAAAGATCCCCAAAGATGCCCAGAGCATGGGAACAGGCAGGAGGAGGACATAGTCCTGCCTGTTCTCAGGACGGGAGGGGGAGCGGTGGAAGAGGGAGGTGGGGCAGCCTGTGGAACCAGCTGGGCCAGGGCTGCTGGGGTCCTGCTCTGTTAGGGGTGCAGGGACACTGGGGATCCTGAGCGCTCTAGAGATGGGAGACGGCCACGCCACTGTGGGGTAGAGAGTGGAGGACAGCAGACAGGGTTGGTGTCAGTGCAGCGGCGTAGTCGCTAGGCCTGGCGTGATGCCAGCTACCACGACAGGGACTGCCAAGACACAGCCACCAGTGTGTGTCCCGGAAACAAGGAAAGACATTAAGACAGGAGAAAACCAAGAGAAAAGAAAACCCTAGGTGTCACTCACACTAGCACTGCACTGCAGAACAACTCAGCACATCTCCTATGCCTGTTTTGTTTTTTACTTTTTTTTTTTTTTTTTTTTTTGGTGGAACCGGGGATTGAACTCAGGCCCTTGCGCTTGCCAGGCAAGTGCTTATTCCACTGAGCCATCTCCCCAGCCCCCTCTGTTTTGTTTTTTGAGACAGCATTTCGTTATGTTCCCCAGGCTGGCCTCCACCGCCTCAGCCTCCCAGCGCTGGGATCTCAGGTGTGTGCCACTACAGTAGACAGCTAAGTTGCCGAGACAGCTCAGCGTAGGAGCTGCCTGACCTTGCCGGTGTCCAGTGATGATGAGGCAGGGCTGCAGGGTCACTTCTGTGCCTCTGGGCTGCTCACAGGGGACATCCTGGCCCCTGGGGTCACAGGAGGAGACCCGCCCCTGTGACCTTGCTGGAGGCGGGAGCCCTATGGGGTCACTGAGTGGGGCTAGGAAATGTGGTGCTGACTGCGCCCCGCGCTGTCCTTGGCCAGCCCTGCTGCCTTGGCGTGGCTTCGTTTTGCTGCTTGTTTACACCAGAGTCCCAGGGTGGAGCCCAGCTGGGCTTGGGACCCTCTGCCTCAGCCACTAGCATGCTAGGATTGCAGGCACGTGCAAACACAGCTGGCATCTAGGCAGGTAGGGTGGGGCAGGCATTGTGTGCTGCCCCCTTAGCACCGGTCAGGGCCACGCCAGGGCACAGAAGTGCAGCGCACACCAAGATCCAGGTCACCCTAGATTTTGGAGTATTCTAAGTGTAACTCTGCCAGTGTGGAGAGTTCCACACTTAACCTCACAAGAAATTTCAGTGTTTTAAAACCTTCACTGGGCTGGGAATAAAGGTCAGTGGCATGAGTGCCTGCCTGGCACCTATAAGGTCCTGAGTTCGATCCTCTGTACAAAAAAAAAAGTGTTCACTATATGTGTAAGAAATATAAGTTAAATTAATATCCTGAACTGTTTTCCTGTAGATATAGAATATCCCAGAATGCAAAAAAAAAAAAAAAAAAAAGATAAGTACCTCCAGTTTCCAGTAATTCAGAGATTTTGTTTTTTTGAGTTGTTTATTTATTTAGTCAGAGTTTTGCTATGTAGCCCAGGCTGGCCTCAACTCTCTGAGATTCTGTTAAATAGGGGAATGAAACTCCCAACCTGAACGATACCTGGGCTGAGTTCATGTTCTCTAAAACTGAAGAATGAGTTTTAGGAACAGCGGAGGTTAGGAGCAGAATATGTTTATGGGGGGAAAGAAAGCTATCCAAGAGGACGGAAGGGGGACCCGAGCGAGTTGCCCCTGAATCTGTCTTCTCTAGGGATTTTTATAAAGCAAAACCATGAGGTGAGGTGGGTCTAAGGTAGAGAACACGGGAACTCAGTAGGTGGGCATGAGGTGGGACAAAACTGTGGTCAGCCCCTAAGATTATAAGCACCATTGCTTAGTAAAATTGATTAAACCAGGACCAAATGGGGAACTGAGTCACGGAGCAAGGGGACATGAATACAGAACTGGGGCTTTTCCTGTCGGGGACTGGCTCAGTGGCTGCCTGGCTTCCAGGTGATCGCTGCCTGTTTAGAATGTTAACCTGGCGTCCACGTGGAGGTATGTGGCTGCATCTGTTTGCTCTTTGGTCTTGAGGCCCGACCCACAGCAGGCGTCTGTCTCTCCCGAAGTTGCAAAATCACCTTGGCTTCCACACTGTCTCCTTGCGGGCTGCCTGAGATATTTCTCCTTGTCAGACTGCCTGAGATATTTCTATCTAATTCGGCTGCCTGCAACACTCCTGCCTTTGGGCTGGTGAGATGGCTCAGTGGTCTAAAGCACCTACTTAGAACAAGCTTAGCCAAAGCACGGGGACAGCAGTTCAATCCCCCAGCACCACATGCCAGCCAGCCCCCAGCCTCGCCCCCTGGTGGGCTGAGCTGGCCACACACACAAATAAATACATTAAAAAAAAAAAAAAAAGAAAACCACTCTTGCCTCAGCCTCCAGAGTGCCAGGGTTACAGGTATGTGCCACCTCGTGGGGCTTTCGGAGTACACAAAGGTTTCCATTCTTCTTGCTGAAACCTCATCCTTCTCTTAGATCGGATGATGCAGCCACTCAGGCTGGGCCTTGTGGCTCTGTTCTGTACCCTCCCTGTGTGCCTGCTGTGGGTCAGGCCCTGGCCCTGCCTGTGGCCCCGATGATGGCAGCAGGACACTCCCCCACATGCTGGACTGGCGGTCTGGTCACACTGGCAGTCTGAGGGGTGGCGTGGAAGTTTGGTCTTTGAGAAGGTGGATGAGAAACGAAGTAATGGTCACACATAGTAGGGTGCTGTGCATGGCTCAGAGTCCAGCCGCACAGGGCCAGCTCGCATGGCTGCGCTGCCCCCTCCTGGCGACTCTGGCCTAAGGGTGGTTTTGGGGTGACCCTCAGGCAGCCCTCCCCATCCTCAAGTGCTGGTGCCGAGTGGGTCTGCCACAGGCTGTCCCGAGGTGTAAGCAGATAGGTCAAATCCTAGAACAGAAGTCCCTCGCTGGTAGCCTGCACACATGTTCTGTCTGAGTGCAAGACAGTTCCAGGCGATGCGTTCTTGGTGTATTGGCACATGTCTATTAGTCGCACCCTGGGAGGCTGAGGCAGGAGAGTGAGGTGGAGCTGTGGGGCTGCTCCTCCCAAGGGCTGGTCTTGGCTGTGACGCTTCTGCCTTGACAGTTGCAGCTGTACTCCGAGGCCAGTGTGGCACTCCTGCGACTGAACAACCCCAAGGGCTTCCAGGAGCTGAATAAGCAGACAAAAAAGAACATGACCATCGACGGCAAGGAGCTGACACTCAGCCCTGCGTACCTGCTATGGGACCTTGGCGCCATCAGTCAGGTGTGGTGCACTGCAGGCAGCTGCTGCTCACTTGGGTCACAGATGCGGGGGCTGGAAATCTGCTTTGGTCTCCTGGTTAGCCGGAGCCCCCAGGGCACAGGGCAGGAGGATGGGGTGTGGTCTAAGGCACCACCACTGTGGCTCAGTCCAAGCAGGATGAAGATGTCTCCGCCAGCCGCTTCGAGGACAATGAGGAGCTGAGGTACTCGCTGCGCTCCGTGGAGAAGCACGCGCCCTGGGTCCGCAACGTCTTCATCGTCACCAATGGGCAGATTCCGTCCTGGCTGAACCTGGACAACCCTCGTGTGACAATCGTCACACACCAGGTGCACCACCTTCCACTTTGGCTTCTGCTCCTCGGATTGGGGCCAGGTCTTAGAGTTCTGTTCTTCCAACCCTGCTTTCCTCCATGTGCACATGGTGTGAAGCTCTTTGTCTTCTCCAGCCTCTCCCCTGCCACACTCACAGGAAGTCTTCCTTGAACAGGATAACAGGAAGTCTTCCGTCCCCTACCAGCTCACAGGAAGTCTTCCCTCCCCTACCAGTGCTCACAGGAAGTCCTCCCTCTCCTGGAATGCTCACAGGAAGTCTTCCCTGCCCGGGATAACAAGAAATCTTCCCTGCCCATGCTCACAGGAAGTCTTCCGGAACCTGAGCCACCTGCCTACCTTCAGCTCCCCGGCCATTGAGAGTCACATCCATCGCATCGAGGGGCTGTCACAAAAGTTCATCTACCTGAACGATGACGTCATGTTTGGCAAGGACGTGTGGCCGGATGACTTCTACAGCCACTCCAAGGGGCAGAAGGTGAGCAAGCACCTAGGGCTGGGGTCAGGTGTGGGCAGGAGGCGTGCAGAACTTCAGGCCCAAGGTCAGAGGTAAGGGTGTAGAGCAGGTGTGGTGGTGTACACCCGTGAGCCCAGCACTGGGAGGCTGAGGCAGCTCCAGGCCAGCGTGGGCCACACAGTGAGTTCAAGGCCGGCTTGGGCTGAGATCAAGGTCCTGTATCCAAAGCGAAACATAAGTACAGCATTAAAAGCTAGTACAGGCAATGTGATTCATTCTCAGCTCCCCAGAGCTACTCCCCAACTCCAATTCTCTACCGCGGAGTTAGTCTAAACCAGAAGTGAGCTTCACTGTCAGCAGAGGACAGCCAGCGCACGGGAGGAAGGGGGTCCTCGTGTTCTGAGTTCCTTACACGCTCCAGCATCAGTTCTGTCCAAGAGCGGCTGGCTCGCACCGTTTGACTCCTGCGAGCCGGCACACTGATGGCGTGCTTCCTCTACTCCGCAGGACACTTCCATGTAACGCAAGCTTAAGTGTCCCTCGGGTCTCTACAGGAGACACCCAGATGTGTAGATGACAGCAGAAGCAGCGACAGGACAGGAAGTGGGGCGACAGGTCTTTCTCTCACAGGAAGGGGAGGGAGAAGACCATCAGGAGCTATTTGGAGAATCTTTACTCTCACAGAGTAGAAGACGCAGAAGAAATGGACAGGTTTCTAGAAAGGTACAAGATACCAAGACTGAATCAAGAAGATACACGAACTCTCAGCCAATGAGATATGAAATGTAATAGGAAGGGGATGGAGAGACAGGACAGAAGGTGGGAGTGAAGGCTCCAGGGGTGTTATGTGCCAGTCCTGGTCCTCCGCCTTGCACTGCCATGGTGGACAGTAACTAGGGAAAGCCACGTGGTGTTGTCGTTTGTGTCATTGTTCAGAGTGTCCTGGTGGTGCTGGCAGCCCCAGCATGATGCTCCCGGGCTCTGCCTCTGGGTCGCAGGCAGATGGCGCTGGCTCAGGCCCTGGAGCACTGACGCAAGGACTTGGTGACCTGCGAGACACTCACCTTGAGCTGAAAGTCCCCAGGCCATGGGGCTAAGCCACTGAGCAGAGGCTCGGCAGCAGGCACGCAGCCACCTGCCCACTGCTTTGCTCTGCGCCTGTCCCACTGATGTGTGTGGGCAGCAGGAAAGCAGGGAGCTCTATGGAGAGAGGCGGCGCTGCTGAGCCTGGGGGCTGCGGAGAACAGACTGGTGTTGGGCTGGGTGGACGGGGACAGCCCGTGGCCAGAGCACGTGGAGCACAGAGGCTCTCCGGTGGAGGGTGTGTGGGAGATGCTTTCATTTTAGAGAGTCCTGACCTGGTCAGTGGTGTGCATCTGCCATCGCAGCCACTCAGGCTGAGGGCCGGTGGCATGCAGAGCAAGTGGGCCCTGGGAGCTTCTTCGGAGCCCCTCCCCTCCTCGACCCGCTCCTCCTCCCATCCTTCTCCTCTTCCTTCCATCTTCTTCCTCCTCATTCTGTTTGGATTTGTATTTTTTGGAGACAGGGTCTTACTGTGTAGGCCAAGCTATAGTCCTCCTGCCTCAGCCTTCTGAGTGCTGCAGTTCCAGGTGTGCGCCACCATGCCTGGCTAACTTTCTTTTCTGAAGGTATTTTAGTTCAAGAGCAGAGAGCATCAGAAGTCCCCGTTTCCCCTTCTTGTTTTGCAGGTTTACCTGACATGGCCTGTGCCGAACTGTGCCGAGGGCTGCCCAGGCTCATGGATTAAGGATGGCTACTGTGACAAGGCCTGCAACAACTCGGCCTGTGATTGGGACGGTGGCGACTGTGCAGGTAGGGCAGTGCTAAGAGGGGCTCATGCGTGCTCTCTTTGTCTCTCTTTCATTGCTGAGAGGCTTTCTCATGCTGAGCCTACCTGGAAAATACTTCTTGCCACTTAAATAAAACAATCTAGCTGGGTTGGAGACATGCTGGAAATCCCAGCACTCGGGCAGCGCAGGCAGGAGGATCAAAAATTAGGCCCAGCCTGGAGAACGTGGAGACTTAGTGAGAACCTGTCTTTAAGCGGGAGGGGGCTGTGAAGGCCACAGGTCCAACTCCCAGTGACACACACACACACACTCACACACACACACACTCACATGGCAGTGTCCATGTTCAGTCGGGTATTTCTGTGTTTGTTTCAGCGGCAGTCTTTGGAGTTGTGTCTCCCTGTCAAGGGCTTCTCTCTGTAACCGCTCACACTCACACACTCGTGCTTGCACTACAGATCTGAGTCCGTGGTGCTGTGGTAGTGTAAGATCCAGGAACTCTTCCCAAAAATGCGCTGGGCGCTTTCTGCCTGCAGCTCACACGTCAGCCTCACACACCTGGTAAGAAGTGAGGCCCTGTCTGCTGTTACCCTGGTGTGCCCACTGCGACACTTCATCCCCACAGGGAGCAGCGGAGGCAGCCGCTACGTGGCCGGCGGTGGCGGTGTGGGCAGCGTGGGCGGCGGGCAGCCCTGGCAGTTCGGGGGCGGCCTCAGCAGCGTCTCCTACTGCAACCAGGGCTGTGCGAACTCCTGGCTCGCCGACAAGTTCTGTGACCAGGCCTGCAACGTCCTGGCCTGTGGGTTCGACGCCGGCGACTGTGGCCAAGGTACGGTGCCCACCGCAAGATAGAGGGCAGGGCAAGCTCTGCAAGCTGAGGGCTTTGGGGTGGACATTGAGCCCTAGAGTGATAATCCCTGGCCCTCCTCCTGCCTAAATTAAGCCTAGCACAGCATCCCAGCTCCCTGGGAACAGTCACTTCAGATGTGTCTGAGTGCTCTAGCTGGGCAGCCTGTGGACTAAGCAGGTCTGTGCTTGTAGCGTGTGCGTGGTAAAGGGCTCCTCGGGGAACAGTGAGGGCTCGTGGTTCTTCGGGGCTGTGTGAAGTCTGCCTGCTGAAAGCATGGTGGCCGAGGGGCTGGACAGGAAGTTTCTCGCAAGGAGACAAGATGGGTGTTGGCCCTCGGGCTTGGCACGTGTGGCTCAGCTGGCCTCTTCACGATGCCGGTTGCTCAGACGGCAAAGTTGGCGCTGCGCCTGTAAGGGCTGTGTCCAAAGTTCTGGTTATTGTAAAGTCCTTCTTGTGAAAACTCACCTAGACAATGAAAGAAGAGGTAGTAAAAATGCTGTTTTTACCAAAAAGCCCTGTTTGTGTGTTTTTCCCTCCAGATCATTTTCACGAGTTGTACAAAGTAACCCTTCTCCCAAACCAGACGCACTATGTTCTTCCGAAGGGCGAGCGGCTGCCCTACTTCAGCTTTGCAGAGATCGCCAAGAGAGGCGTGGAGGGGTCCTACAGCGACAACCCTGTGATCCGACACGCGTCGGTTGCCAACAAGTGGAAGACCGTGCACCTGCTGCTGCACGGCGGCATGAACGCCACCACCCTCTACCTGAACCTCACGCTGCAGGACGCTGCCGACCAGGAGTTCAGGCTGCAGATAGCCGTTGAGGTGGACACAAGGGAGGGCCCCATGCTGAACGCCACCACCCATAGGCCCCGCACACTTGCAGGCAGCCCCACAACGCCACTGCCTGAGGCTGAGGTCCTCTTTGAGGACATTCCTGAGGAAAAGCGTTTCCCAAAAGCCCACAGGCACGGAGGTGGTCGCACAGGGAGGCTCTTGGAGGAGCTGCGAGTCCCCTGGGTGAATGTCTCTCTGCTCCCCAGAGAGGCGCAGGCCAGGCTCAGGGTCTTAGACAGGCAGCTGGTGCAGGGTGACATCACAGAGAAAGGCTACAACTTGTCCAAGTCAGCCTTGCTGAGACCCTTTCTCACAAGCTTCCCAGACGCTGCGGTCAGTCCAGCCCCACTCACAGTTGAGACCAAGGACGGTGTGCAGGCCCCAGGAAAGCTGGATCGCAGAACCCCCAACAGTGTCAAAGGCACGCAGAAATCCCAGCCGCCACCTTCCCCGGCAGGGATGGAGAAAAGGAACAGCAGCAACTCAGCCCCAGCCCTAGTCTTGGAGACCAGAGCCAGGTTTCAGTTGGAAACTGAGGGCCCAGTGCCAGGTACCAGCGAGGTTGGGCTCAGAGGCCAGCTCTCGCTCCCAGTTCCTCCACCTGCAATGCCTGCGACAGAGGAGAGACTTGTGGTGGAAAAGGAGGGAAAGCAGGCAGAGGCCATCGCTGCAGACCCTGCAGATGCTGCCAGAGCCATGCTGCCCCGGAGGAAGCTGCAGCAGGCCAGCCCTTACAGTGGGTTTCTGCCGTGGGAGAAGACAAAGTACTTCCAGGATCTCCTGGAGGTATGCCAGCTCCTAGAATCTGTGGCTAGCAAGTGACGAGTGACGGTGTGGCCACAGCTGCTGTTGACCCCACACCTCTGGGTACTCCACCACAGGATTTGAGCTTACTGCCCAGAGCTCTGTAAGCTGCCCCCTGAGGGCACTTCCTGTCCCAGCTGGCAGCTCAGGAAGCTGCCCTGCGGCAGGATATGGCTGGGCAGGTGCAGGGTGTTTGCCTTTCCCCCTCTCCTGATGACTGCAGTGGGGCAGAGCCAGGCCTGGGCTCCTTCGACCAAGGCCAGGTGTCCTGTGCGGGGTCTCAAAAGAAAACGTGGTTAGTGACAGATGAGTGTCCCTGGGCCTGTGGCATGGCTGGGATGATATTCCCCGGCTCTTACCTCTGGCCTCCTTTTGCAGATGAAGAACTGGAAGCATGACTAGAGGCTGGCCGGGTGGGTGCGAGCCGTGCAGTGCGTGCATCCTGCCTGCCCAGGGCCGCAGGGAGGTTATGCTGCCTCCAACTGTGAGGCTCCTCCTGCCTCAATCTCCCAATCCCTGGGGTTACAGACGGGCACCACCGTGCCGTGCCTGAGTCGGTAATGTTGCCTCTTGTAAGAAACGATTCCTTTTCCAGGAGGAAGCAGCGCTCAGGACCCAGCTGGCCTACCTCACCGACAGCAGCCACACTGGCCGGCGGCTCCAGGACACATTTGCAGATTCGCTCCGTTACGTGAACAAAATCCTCAACAGCAAGTTCGGGTTCACGTCACGGAAGGTCCCCGCACACATGCCGCACATGGTCGACCGTGTGGTCATGCAGGAGCTGCAGGACATGTGAGTCCAGTGCTGCCGCGGGGTTGGCCTGGCGTCTGGTGACCGCCAGCGCCCGTGGCCTTGCGCGGCGGGCTCACTGCCCTGCGTTCCCAGGTTCCCTGAGGAGTTTGACAAGACATCCTTACACAAGGTGCGCCACTCGGAGGACATGCAGTTCGCCTTCTCCTACTTCTACTACCTCATGAGCGCCGTGCAGCCGTTGAACGTATCCCAGGTTTTCGACGAGGTGGACACGGACCACTCAGGTGTCCTCTCAGACCGTGAGATCCGGACGCTGGCCACCAGGGTCCACGAGCTGCCACTGAGCTTGCAGGTGGGCTGCTGCCTTGCCCCCGCACGGTGACGTTTCCTGTGATAGGTGACACGCAGTGCCCCGTTCCCGTGCGGGTTTCAGCGTAACGTGAGCAGCAGGTGTTCTTTATAGTTATGTGGGTGCAGAATGGGTCTCTGTTCTACCAGAATTAGGACCAAGCTTGAAGTTTCTACTTCATGAAATGTTTGCTTGTTTTTTGCCACATAATCTCGCTATATAGCCCAAGCTGGGCTTGAACTCTCAGAAATCCTTGTGCCTCAGCCTCCCAAGTGCTGGGATCTCGGGTGTACCACCACACCCAGTGAGGTTACTTTCTAGGGACTGAGCCGTATTCTGTGGGGAGGAGCCATGCGCGGGGCACCTATGTGTGAGGTTGCGTGTGGGTCCTGGCGTGGCTACCTGCCACCATCAGACCCACATCAACCACCTTCCCTAGCCATGGGAGCCTGGGGGCACCTTGGGCACCTTGCCTACGAGGGGAGTCTACGGCGGGGCCTGCTCCTTCAAGGTGAGGACAAGATGTTCATGTTGGCATTGTTTCCTGCTGGGCTTGCTGGAGATCTTTATTTTATTTTATTTTTTTAAATTTTATTTATTTATTTATTTGTGTGTGTGTGTGTGTGTGTGTGTGTTGTGGCCAGCTCAGCCCACCGGGGGCGGGGCTGGCTGGCATGTGGTGCTGGGGGATTGAACTGTGGTCCTTGGGCTTTGCTAAGCTTGTTCTAAGTAGGTGCTTTAGACCACTGAGCCATCTCACCAGCCCTGGAGATCTTTATAATATTGAGAATCATGTCCAAAGCCAGCGTGAGGTCAGCGCTTGTAATTTTACTACTCTGGAGACTGAGGCAGGAGGATCACCACATGTTTGAAGCCAGCCTGGACTGTACAGTGAGTTTAAGGCATCCTGGACTACTGAGTAAGACCCTGTGTTGAGAAACCACACTCACACAAAATCATACTAAAGAAACTCGGAGGGTAGCATTTAAGTTGTCTTTGGTAGATTTTACATGATTTTTAGCTTAAAAACCACAAGCGTTACCTGTAATGTACTCAACGCGTTTATCTGTGTATTTTGCTGTGTTAGGATCTGACTGGTCTGGAGCACATGCTAATAAATTGCTCAAAAATGCTTCCTGCTAATGTTACCCAGCTGCATGCAGTGCCACCCACCCAGGAGGCCTACTATGACCCCAACCTGGTGAGTGCTGGGGGATCCCTGAGGTCCCCAGCTTGTGGTTCCCCCTCAACAGGCAGGCAGACCAATCTGCAGTGCGTTCCCTGCTCAGGTTCAGCAGGACACAAGCACCCCAGGTCATCTCTGGGGATATCAGCCAAGGAGAAATGGCTGTGATCAGGCTGTGGGTGGCCAGCACACAGGGCTCCATGAGGAGGCCTCTGGGCAGTCACTGGAGACTTTGGTCCTGGAGCCGTGTGCAGAGGGCTGCACTGGGAGGGTCTGACCTAGGCACAAGCACAGTGGTTGCAGTGGGCTTGTGGGTAGATGAGAGACAGCGTGGAATTATGGTGGAGGTGGTCGTGATGAGGTGCAGGGTGACTGAGCTCTGAAGGCCCTCGTGTCCCCCCCCCCCCCGAGCATGCGTATGAGCCCACCTCCTGGGTGACCGAGGTAGTGGTTATGTCACACGTACTTTTTAGTAGTGTTCTCTCCCACAGACATTTTCTTTAACAAATAGCTCTGGCAATCATAGTCACAATAAAAAATTACTTATTTAGCAAGACCATGTGTCAGAATAAAAACAGGGATATGGCTCAAGTTGAAGGCCCTGGATTCAATCCCCAGTACAGAAAGAAAGAAAGAAAGAAAGAAAGAAAGAAAGCAAGACAAGACAGAGAGAAAGAAAGAAGAAAGAATTGTAATAAACAGACTAGTTCATAATATTCTAAGGTTTTCTTTTTTTTCTTTTTTGATGATAGAAAATCTTATTTTAATTAAGTTGAACTAAATCTGTGCACACATATTTTGTAGCCATGTAACTAGAATCCTATATATGAACAGAATAAAGAAGCATTCAACTATAACTATAGGTCTTTTACATCCTTTAACATCTTGCCAACCAAAAGATTGATCTTAGGAGGCATTATGCCAAGGAACATTTTGGCACTGAGAGCAGAGTCCTCGGCCTCGTGCATACTTAGCATACACACTGTAGAGAGCCATAACCCCATGCCCAGGAAATCAGCTGGATTTGTCTAGGTCTTAAATTTTTTTTTTTTTTTTTTTTTTTGTGGAACCGGGGATTGAACTCAGGCCCTTGCACTTGCCAGGGAAGCACTTATTCTACTGAGCCATCTCCCCGGCCCCATTTTAAATTCTTAATTGGATATTCATCTATTACTACATAGACCCAACATTTCTATTGTAAAAATCCAGCACAAATTAGAACTACAGATCTTTATTTGAAAATCTGACCTGCCGATGTAGCATTTTCCACCAGCGCTTGGAGCAGCAACTTTCAGGCTTCCCAGCCTTCTGCATAGGTGCTGCCTTTGCGGGAGCCTCAGCAGCCGCCACTGCAGTCTTTCTAGCTGCTAGCTTAGCCTTTTGTCCTTCCTTGGCAGCCCTGATAGCTTGTTCTCTTTGGGCCTTTCTAACTTCTGGTTTCTGATTCCTCTTGGCCGTTATGCCAGCAAGAGATGTACCAGCGATGGCGCTCTGAAGCTGGACTGCTTGTCGCATTCTTCTGAATTTCTTCCGACTGTCCCTGTTTGTGTTTTCTTTTGTAGAGGACAGTCCAGTTTATTTGCCGAGGATTTCTCGTGGGAAGGAATGCAGACTCGCATTTCATATTCAGAAACTGGACGGCCTTCCTGCCGGTCCTGGCGTAGCGCCCCCCGTGTCCCCGTAGATCTTGAGCCCGCTGAAGGTGCAGAGCTCGACCTTCATGGCAGCAGCAGGCAGTCAAGGCTGAAGATGGTCAAGTTTGGAGATAGGGTCTGATGGTAGCTCAGGCTGTCCTTGACTTCACTATGTAGCCCACGCCGGGCTGGAGCTCTCAGCAATCTGCCTGCCTCAGCTTCCTGAGCGTTAGGCTCACAAGTGTGCGCTATCAGGACTGGCAGAGTTTTTTTTTTTTTTTTTTTTTTTTTTTTTGGATTGAACTCGGGGCCTTTTTGACATAGTGTAATATAGTGTGTGACTAAAATAAAACTTTATTTACAAAGACAGCTGACAATGCAGGGGCTGCAGTGTACCCGTGTGATTTTTAGTTTTCCTCTTGGTCCTGGGTGGTGGCAGTCCCTTCGCTCTGTGCCTGGGCAGAGGCCCCCCTTGCTTTTTTCGCCCTCTTCCCCATCCTGTTTCCTAACCACCTGTGCTTTCTCAAAGCCACCAGTGACCAAGAGTCTGGTGACCAACTGTAAGCCGGTGACTGACAAAATCCACAAAGCATACAAGGACAAAAACAAGTACAGGCAAGTGCACGCCTCAGTATTTGGTGTCGTATGACAAGGTTGGTGGCTTCTCCACAGCACATTGCTTTGTATTTTTTAAGAAGGAAAGGTTTACTTTGGCTCGTAGTTCATACCGGTTTGTTCCTCGGGTGGCAGGACAGAGAGGCAGGGGAGGAAACAGCTCTGGCATAGCAGGGTTGGAGAGCAGAGAGGGATCACAGGAGGAGGAGGGCACGCCCTTCCGGGCACGCAGCTTCTGGTCACAGCCCGCCTGCTCCTCCAAGTAGGCGCCACCTCCCAGCCTTGTGCTCAGCTGTAACCCGGGAGTGGACCAATCCACTCTGAGTATCATCCCCACCCCCACCCCACCCCTGCCCACCCAGCCAGTCACCTCTGGGAAGCTCCCCCACTTAGGAGCCCTTGAGGGCTTGGCGGAACTAAACTGTTTACATTCTGCTCTGTCCCGCCCCCCCCCCCCAGCGTCCCTGTGTGCAGGTACACGTGGTACATCTCCCAGAGTCAGTGCAGTGCTTCATCTGTGAAGTAGGCTTTAAAACTCATGTGAGCCTGCCAAGCACAAGGTCCCAGGCTCAATTTCTGGCATCAGAAAAAAAAAATTTTGTTTAAAAAAAGCAAACCTCATGTGAGCCAGGTGTGGGGGCACACACCTGTGACCTCAGCACTCAGGAGGCTGAGGCAGGAGGATCACTGTGGGTTCAGGGCCAGCCTGGGCTAACAGTGAGTTCAGGGCCAACCTGGACTGAGACCCTGTCTCATAAAACAAACAAAACCACCCGTGTGAGTTGTGTCCTGGCAGTACCTAGTGAGCCATTCCGTGGATGGCCAGTGAAGCTGCCGCAGCGCTGTGTACTGGCACTGTGTTTTGTGTTCCTAGGCATCGAATGTTTCACCTCTTTCACTGTGTTTGGACAACTAGGTTTGAGATCATGGGGGAGGAAGAAATCGCTTTTAAAATGATCCGAACCAACGTTTCTCATGTGGTCGGCCAGCTGGATGACATAAGGAAAAACCCCAGGTACTGACTCCCACAAGTCATTGTTTTATTTTCCTGAATTGTGTTTGGCCAACTCTGAGTTTTCATACACGTTACTATGCTAAAATGAGAATCTCTTTCAAAGGTACCACAATGCAGATTTTTCGCTCATGTACACGGGATTTTCTCATTTTGCACAAACTGCTATTTTATTTGCTGGTAAAGATATGAGTGTGGGTGCATGTACTTCCAGAGACTCTACCAGGGATCTTGGGTCTCTTCCAACCCCACCACCTAGGAGATGGAGGCAAGAAAGGCCCAAGAGGGCCGGGGAGATAGCTCAGTAGAATAAGCACTTGCCTGGCAAGCACAAGGGCCTGAGTTCAATCCCCAGTTCTGCCAAAAAAAAAAAGAATCTAGATGGGAAGAAAGGCCCGAGAAGAGGGGAAGGTGTTTGGGGTAGAACATTGTAAGAAAAAGAGCCAGGTATGCTGATGCAGAACTCTGGAGGGAGGCAGGAGATCGCTGCGAGTTTGAGGCTGGCCTGGGTTAAGTAGTGAAACCCTGTCTCAAAAAAAACCTAAAAAAGAAAAGAAAAACAGTGATTTGGGAAAGAAGGAAGAGAGAGGAGGTCCAGAGTTTGGACCCACAGGCGGGTGGCAGAGAAAGGAGGGGGCAGAGGAGCTGACACTGCACCGGGTGGTGGCTCTCGGCCTGCCATGAGTCCTGGTGGCTGCGTGGACTGCAGGAGTGAATTTGGAGTGGTTCCGGAGGCCGGAGTCCAGGCCCAGGTCAGCTTGGAGGATGCAGGTGAGGCAGCCCACGGACTCCGGCCAGCCCCAGATGAACACATTTTCTGTCTCACACAGCTCTGAGCATTCAGACCTGGCTCTAACTGCTACCTTATTTGGCTTGATAAAAACAGCTTAAGAATCTGCTTTTTGAAAGGTTTTTGTTGTGACTATGTTTGTTGTGACTGTGGTTTTTTGTTTTGTCTTTTTGAGACAGGGTCTCGCTATGTAGCTCAGTATATGTGCTGCCGAAGCGAGCACACGCTATGTAGCTCAGGCTGGCCTTGAGTGCATTATATAGACCAGGCTGGCCTAGGACTCATGTGATCCTCCTGCCTCAGCCTCCCGAGTGCTGGGATTATTGGCAAGCCCCACCGTGCCCAGCATGTTAGGGTTTTTTTGAGCAGGATCTAACTACGAGTTTGCTTGAACTCTTGGTGTAGCCAGGCTGGCCTCAACTTCCTGATGATCTTCCTGCCTCAGGCCCTCCTAAGTGCTGGAATTACGAAGGTGTGCCTGCCTTTGAGTTTTTGAATTTAAGTAGGAAATAGCTATTTCATCAGTTTCCTTGAGAAATTCAAAAAGATCTTGGCATATAAAGTGAATGGTGGTGTTTCTCGCCTGTAGGCCCTCCTGGATGTCTTCAGGTATGTTTCTCTTTACTCCTTTGGTACTGGGGATCCAACTCCGGAGCTTGCAATTGCGGGCAGATGTTTATGCCCCCCCCAGCTATCACCCCGCCCACATCTGCAGGTTTGCCTCATTTGAATTGGGATTATATTTATAAATGATCCAAATTGTAGAACTTCTAAATACAGCATTTTAAGACTGATTTTTGCTTCCTTACAAATTCCATTTTTCTGTGGATGAGGAAGGGGAAAGAGAATCTTGAGAAAAATAAAACATCTTTTCGGCATAGCTTCCTCAGGAACCCAGTAAAATCCTGGACTTCCTGAAAATGAACCTCTCTGGCGTGCAGCCAAGACGATGGGGTGCAGCCAGCAGCTGCTGGCCACACCGGCTTGTCTCGGGCCTCGAGAAAACGTCACTAAGGATTTTTGGAGCACCTTTGGGTGGCACAGGGGCCTGTGCCTGTGCTCTGGGTCTTGCTTGGGCTGTGGGAATTTTTCACACTGTGTACTTTGACTCTTTTGAGGTCAACACAACCTTCAGACCACAGCGTTGTCTGTGAATTTGCCCAGGCTGGCCTCTAACCTGTGATCCTCCTGCCTTAGCCTCCCAAGTAACTACCCTGCATCCCTTGGTGTCAGCTTAGGGACACATTTGCCCCTTGAACAAAGTATCTGGGTGGGCAGGAGCCTGACTTCTGACTCCTCTGCCCTGCTGGTCTTCTGCAGTCCCGTTCTTGAAAGACCCAAGACACGAACCCTGAACTCGGCCCCGCCTCACGGAGCTGCCTGCTGTGCAGCCTTCGCTCTCCCTGAGTACCGAGAGCTGGCGTCGGCCTGTGCTGCATCCATTTATTTTTAGTGCAGAATGTTGTCAAAGCTCATGGATTGCACTTGGCTGACGCAGCTCCTGGGTCCTTGTAAGGCAAGCCAGGCGCTCAGGACAGGTAACCAGGGGCCTCTGTGTGCACGTCAGTCTCCAGAAAGCACTGACTTACATTTGCTTTTTAGTTTCGCCATTTTTTTAGGCAGGGTCTTGCTCTGCCGTCCTGCCTGGCCTTGAACTCACTCAGGCTGGCTTTCAGCTCACCACGATCCTCCCGCCTTAGCCTCCTGAGTGCTGGAATTCCAGGCGTGGGCCACCATGCCAGCTTGCATGTGCTCATTTCATCTGAGTGCACCCACTTCTCCATCTCTCCTTGCCAGGTTCTTTCAAGTAAATCTCATTTTATCTGTTTTTTCAGTATGTGCCTCAATGTAAGGATCCTTAAAATACAGCCACATAGTCACCCTAAAGAAGTTACTAGCGGTTCTCCTGGCATCACCCATCAGGACAGCTTGCACCCCCCATCTGTAAGCGCCTGGCTCTAGTTCATGGTGTGTCAGGTACATTCGTTGCTGCTAAAGCCAGAGGTTTCTCTTCCGTCTTCACTCTGCCTGCTGAACCCTCCACACTCTGTGTATCGGGCCACAGCCGGTTCTGTGGCCACAAACCTTGGGCCTCTGCTTCTCCAGTTCTGGCCGGTTCTGGCCTGGTCCTCACCATGCCTGCTCGTGGATCTGAAGGTTTAACTGCTCTGTCCACGTCAGGATCCCATCTCGCTGGCTGCGTTTCATTGCCCTGGTATAATTTTTGCCTTGAAGTACTCAAGGAGGTGTACCAGCTGCTGCCTTCACCAGCCCTGGTGCTTGAGCACCCGGTGGGGGAGGTGGACATCCCCGAGCCAAGGCCACCAGCAGTGCTGTCCCTGTTACTTGCACTGTGCTACACAGGTTGCTGTCACTTTGGGGCAGTTTCCTCAGTCCCCACTGGCTTTTCTTCATGCTAATGCAGTGTCCTGTTAGCTGGCCGCACCACTGGCTCTGAGCTCAGGCTGCATGAAGTGGGGGTCATACATGGAGTGGTCTCACTGCGCTACCGGCCTCTTTCGGGGTGACTGACACCAGCTCTGGTTGCAAGGGTGAGGAATTTCCAAAGCAATATTTGGTAGAGAGGACTCTCCAGAGAATGCCACCAGTCAGTGTACTGACAGTACAGATGTCCATTTGAAATACTCAGGCATGGAGGCGCACACCTGTCCTCCCAGCACTCGGAGGCTGAGGCAGGAAGATCACAGCAAGTTGAGAGCCAGCCAGGGTTACAGAGTGAGGTCAAGGCCAGCCAGAACTGCACAGCAAGACCTTGTGTCAAAAAAATGAAAGAAGTAAAAGACAGTTGGTGTGCACATCTGTTTTCTGCTGGTGAGGCCCCAGTAACCCAACTTGGTCTTCGCAGGAAGTTTGTTTGCTTGAACGACAACATTGACCACAACCACAAAGACGCGCAGACCGTGAAGGCCGTGCTCCGGGACTTCTATGAGTCCATGTTCCCTGTGCCGTCCCAGTTTGAGCTGCCCAGGGAGTACCGGAACCGCTTCTTGCACATGCACGAACTGCGGGAGTGGTGAGGCCCCCCCAGTCCCGTCCCCTTGACATGCAGCTAGGGCTCACAGCGACAGCTTCTCTGTCTTATGTTACTTGCTGTGTAATTTCTTTCTGAAAACACAGACTAATAATTGCCATTTGTGGGACAGGGTCTCACGCTAGCCCAGGCTGGCCTCCAGTCTGTGGTCCTCTGGCCTCAGCCTCCCAGGTGGGGTTATAGGTGTGCACCACCGTGCCCACCCAGCTTTTAGTGCTTTGAGTGTCTGTAAGACATTTACTGACTTCTTAAGTGATTTGAAAAACATGTACCTGGGTTTTCCGTGTAGCTGGGACTCCGCATAGTAAAGAGCTATACGTTGTAGATGCAGGCAGGGCTGGCTCCCTGGGGGACCCCTCGGCAAGGGGCTGGGCTCACCCTCCCTCCATGTCTGCTTCTCCCGGCAGGAGGGCCTACCGCGACAAGCTGAAGTTCTGGACCCACTGTGTCCTGGCCACACTGATCATTTTCACAGTCTTCTCATTTTTTGCTGAGCAGGTAAGTGACACATCTGACAGGGTGCTGCTGGTGTCTCCTGGCGTCTCTGCGTCACTGTATAGGTCACTTCTGGGCAGCCTGACCTAGCAACCACCATCCCCTTACCGTCTGACTCCGACTGCAGTCAGGCAGGAGAAGTTGAGGCTGAGGCCAAGAGGCTCTGTTCCCAGCCCTGTCCCACCGGACCCCTCTGCCAAGCCTGTTTCTGTGGGCTCCCTTGGGTGGCGGTGGGGTCCTCTGGGCTCTTAGTGTCCCTGCAGTGCTGGCTCAGTATGTGTCCGCTTGCATTTCCTGTGCCAAGGCTGGGTTCTCCCCCTCGCTTCTCTTCTAGCTCCACCTCACCCCCCTCTCACTCCCTGCCCCGTCCTCCATCCTCTTCCTGTCCCCTCTGTCCCTCTCCAGGCCCTCCTAGTCCCAGCCCCACTCACCTCTGCTGGAGGAGGAGGATGCTTAGGCTGCAGGTGTGAAGCACCCAGAAACAAAGGTTACAAAGGCTCAAAGAATCATAGATGGGAGCCACGGGGCAGCTTGATTCCCAGCACCTGAGGTCAGGGCTTCCTGCGCGGAGACAGGACAAGCAGGCAGGATGCCGCTACTCTGGCCACTGGCCACTGAGGAGGGGACATCGGCCCCAGGCTCCCGGGTGGGACAGAGCCAGCCAGAAGGAGCTTCTGGGGCACAGGAGAAAGTGGGGTCTTAATTACTTTTCTTCTTCTTCTTTTTTTTTTTTTTTTTTTGCACGGAACCGGGGATTGAACTTAGGCCCTTGCGCTTGCCAGGGAAGCGCTTATTCCACTGAGCCATCTCCTCGGCCCCTTAATTACTTTTCTTGTTACTGAGACAAAATACCCAACACACAAAGTTAAAGGGGAGAGATTGATTTGGCTCGCTTTGTGGAGGGTTCAGCCCATGGTTGCTGGCTAAAGGCAGAGTGGCTTGGCCGAGGGGCATCGCAGAGGAGAGCAGTTCTTGGCACCCACAAGGCAGCAAGAGCACCAAGGGAGGGACAAGGCTCTTTCTGTCCCTTGTGTCCCCAGGTCGGCATAGCGCTCGCCCCCTTAATCCCAGCCAGAACTCTGCCAGACAATCAGCAGAGGAGTTTATTAATCACTCCCCCTGGTTCCCAGCATCACGCACTCCAGACCCAACCACTGGGAGCCGGCCTGACTGTGCAGGGCCATCTAGACACACCCCGGGATGGGCCAGCTGCCCTCTGCCTGGCCCGGGTCCTCAGCCAGCCAGGGGTCGGCCATTCCTGGGTGCAAGGAGACGCTGGGGCTTCCGTGTGGAGACCGTGAAGAAACTTGCTTTCTCCCCACTGTCACTTTGTTATGGTGGCTGTCAGACTTGCCCTTCCACATATGCGTGAGCAGCTGTATTTGTGGGGAAACATACCCATCCCAGGTCTGCGCTGCCCGTGTACAGAGGAACTTTTCACAACAGCGCACGCATCCTTGGGGATATTTTCATTTCTAAGTGACTGCTGTTAGGTGAAGCTCAGAAAAAGTTCTGACAGGATTTTTAATATTAGTGTTTGGTTTTCAAATCACGTCTCACAATCAGAGGCAGCGTCTCCATGAACAAACCGAGCCAGTCCCTGCCAACGGGACCTGACACGCGGACATTGAATGGAGCTCTGCTCCGTGAAGGCTGCGCAGGCGTCTGCAGATGCAGGCCTTGGTTAGATACCCTAAATCATGTGAGCACTCTGTCTCCCTGGGCTGGAACCTGTGTACACTGACCAGGGCTGGGGCTGTGTTTTCAGGGAGGAAACCGCTCAGTGCCTGCTTTGTCATCTGAGACTAAGGGTATGATTCATAGAAAATAAGGGTGATACATTAATAGGCTTCCAGCCATGTGGAAAATTAAAACGTTTTCTCTTTTTCATCATTTAGTTAATTGCTCTTAAGCGGAAGGTGTTTCCCAGGAGGCGGGTACACAAAGAAGCCAGCCCAGATCGCATCAAGGTTTAGAAAGTGCTGGCTTGGAAGTCTGGAAGTCACCTACCTCAGTGTCCCCGAGCTGGATGACCACCACCGCCTGGGATCTTGGCACACGCCACGCCGCTGTGACAGGCAGCTCTGAGCTAGCTGGTCCTGCTTTTAAGGTGTTCGCTCGTGGACCTGTCGTCCTTTTAATAAAAAGGCTGCTGGGCGCTGGGCATGGTGGCACCTGCCTGTGAAGGCAGCACTCAGGAAGCTGAGGCAGAGGATTGTTGTGAGCTCAAGACCAGCCTGGGCTACATAGTGAGCTCAAGGCCAGCCTGAACTGCACAGTGAGATCCCATCTCAGAAAGAAAGAAAGCAACCAGAAAGAAACTAACAAACCACGAAGAAGGCTGCTGGCTTCCCAGCAGGACCATTGCAGGCTAAGAGCATGTGCCAGATTGCTGGGAGTCTCTGAAACCTGGTTCTGCACCTCCCCTTTCTTTCATTTTCCATCTCTTATTGTTGAAATAAGTTGCCACTAAGTTCTTGCTTCTGCAAATAGCAAATCAAGGTGTGATCTCATTTCTATGGTTGTTATTTAAATGCAGCAGTACTGTCACTTTTGACAAGCTCGAAACCACCACCTCGGGTAACAGTGGTCTCGGTCCACTCCGAACTGCCGACCGTTGTGGCTGGCACAGGAAACGTCACAATGCTTCAGTCCCTGAGAATAAATACCGTGATTTCCTGAGCTGGCCTGATGACCAAGGGCTACGTAATTGGCGCTGCCCCTTAGAGATGTGATGATATTGTGGAAATGTCCATAGTCACGCAGAAGTGCCTCCCTCTGGACGCGCAGTGCTGACAGGGCAGGCACCCCGTGTCTGGTTTAGCACCTGCCACCACCACACTCCTACTCCAGCTGCAGCTGCTGGTGGGTACAGCAAGGGTCGTCGCAGACTTGCCTGTAAAAGGCCAGCTAGCACGTAACTGCGGGACACCTGTGTCTTCATCGCGCGTTCTTCTGCGGTGGTCTCCAGTTTGTTCTGAACAACCCTTTAACATCACGAGGCCCCTAAGTAGCTGGATCTGACCCGCAGGCCCCTGATGTGTCCTTGTACAGTGGGTCTGGGGGGCTCTGACTGCACAGGTCCTTCCTTCCTGAGGAGGGACGGGCACTCTGGATCTCGGGCTCAACAGTATTCTTCCACAGCGCACGCATCTTTTGTAAAAAACGTGAAATGTAACTACTGGCATTTGTGCTGTTTTTGAAAATTGAAGTCCTATAAAAAATTCTATTTGTCTGATTCTTTGATTTTTTAAATCTTGGGGATTCCCGTTTTCCAGTCCAGTGCTTAGTCGACTGTCTGTGGTGTGTTCTGTCTGTGTGGCTCTGTACTGACTGCTACTGAAATTAAACAGATTAGTGTCGACCGTGCCAGAGGGCCCTGCTGCAGAGGGAAAATGAGTTCTGGGAAAAATTGGTGATACGGAAAAATTCAGTGAGTGTCTGAATATCACTATAAAAGCAAAGAATTTATTCTAGAAAGGTTGTACAGAAATAAAGATTTGTGTGTCACAGAGATTAGTGACGTGGATGCGGTCCACACCCACGAAGAACTGGGCAATGAGCTGGGAGCAGAATCATAGGACAGCCACAGGACCGCTGACTTGGGAGGGCCCCTGGATGGGAGCCTTGGAAGTTGATGTGTCTGTGCCGTTCTGAACTTTTTGTTTGTTAAGACGGTCTTGCTCTGCAGTTTAGGCTGGCCTAAAACTCACAGCAGTCCTCCTGCCCAGCCCCACAGGCGTGCACAGCCATGTCCCCAGACCTGTAGAAATCTAGTGTGTTCCTTGCTCCATTTGGCTGTGTAACAAAAGCGTGGGACTGGGTGATTTATGAAGAACAGAAATGTTCTTCCAGCCAGTCCTGGAGGCTGGTAAGTCCAAGATCAAGGCGCCCACAGGCTCTGCCTCGGGGAGGCGGGTGATGCTGTCCTAGGACAGTGCCTAGAACGGGGTGCGGGGTGACGTGTCCTCCCCTGCAGCAGGAGCCACTACCCTGTGTCGAGCTCTCAGTGACAGCCCTGCTCTAAGCGTAGGTCTGCCCCCTGAGCTAGTGCCCACCTGAGTGCCCTGCCGCTCAGTACCTTTGCTGATGAAGTTTGAGCAGGAAGTTTGGAGGAAACAAAACAAATCACAGCATTGTGGGATTTTGAAGAGGAAACTAATACTGCTGGACCCCCATCCTGGAGCCGCCGCACAGGCCCTTCAGGCAGTTTTTTTTTTGTTTTGTTTTGTTTTGTTTTGTTTTTTTGGCGGAACCGGGGATTGAACTCAGATCCTTGCATTTGCCAGTCAAGCACTTATCCTACTGAGCCATCTCCCTGGCCCAAAATGGTGTTTTCTTTTTTTTTTTTTTCGTTTTTTTCCTTCAGGCAGTTTTCAAAATGACCATCTGGACCAATCTGCTCTCTGTTGTTATTTATTTTTCTTTTTGAGGTAAGATTTACCTCCGAGTGCTGGGATTGTAGGGATGCGCACCACCACGCCCAGCTCGAAGCCTTGTTTTATCAATAATGGATACACCCCTCTCAGGGCACCTGATTTGCCCTGGGTCACACGGCCATAAGGGGCGGCAGCGGGGGAGTAGGGTGTTGGAGCTCAGATCTTCCCGTCCCCCTACTTGTGCAGCCCCACATGGCACTGACACCGAGCTTTGTCATCCCCTGCACTCATGTGCAAGGCCCGAAGGGCTCAGCTTTCTCTTTTGAAACAAGGGCGGTCTACTTTGGAACCAGGGACTCTTGGGCCAGCCCCATGGCTCAGCAGACTAAAATGCCGGTTTAGGCAGAGCACAGTGGCTGGGTTCGATCCTGGCAAGCTGTGCCGGCCCCGCCTCACACCCCTAATCCCAGCCCTTGGGAGGCTGAACACAGGACAATCACTGAGTCCCATCTACGCAGTAAGCACTCCCCACTCCTCCCCTGCCTTCTCTCCCCCAGCCAGCGGCCCTAACAGGCTAGCCTAGGGAGAGATTTGAAGCTATTTGCATATGTGAGAAGGAAAGAAACTAATACTGAAACCAAGTCCAGTGGCTCGAAGGTGTAGGTTTCCTTTGTTGTTTCTAGCTGAGCAGGAGGATCACTGTGAGTTTCAGGCCAGGCTGGGCAACAGTGAGATCCCATCTCGTCGGTCTACCCATCAGTCAGTGGAGGGAGATGGAAAAGACAAAAAGCTAGTGCTCCAAAATAAAAGGTAGAAAAGTAACGAGTAGAGGAGGACCAGATGTAGAGTGGCAAAAATATATGCAATAACAATCAGAAGGTGTACTAGATAGCTTGAGACAGGACGGCCAGTTACAAAAGTGCTATTTGGGGCTGGTCAGAAGTTTGCTAGACTCAAGCCTCAATCCGAATCTAGTGCTGTTTGCAGGACTGATTAGAAGATGCTATTTTTTGACCCTTCATTTGCATTTAGGCACAACCAATTAAAAGATCTTGTTTCCAAGCATTTACATGTAACATCTTTATTTTTTCTTTTGTAAGTCATTTATTCATTTATTTGGTACAGTCTCGCTATGCAGCTTGGACTCAGCATGGAGCTGTCTCACCAGCCTGTAACAGACCTTTTGATTGGACAGTTTATACATGCCATGCCACCCAAGAAGCATTTGATAGGATGCTGTCCCACTACCTTATTTGCATACAAGGGAGATAACATTTGGAATTGTGGCTGCTACAAAAGACCCTTTTGTGCATCCTCCGCCGCCTCTGTTTCTTCACTGGCAGCTCTACGGGGCTGTTCTTTTTTGCCATTGGTAAATACCTTTCAGGCATGGTGGGACACCCCCATAATAAAAGTACTCGGGAGGCTGAGGCAGGAGGATCACCATGAGTTCATAGACACCTAGGACTATATAGAGTTCTAGGCCAGCCTGAACTACACAGCAAGACCCTCTGTCAAAAAAAAAAAAAAAAAATCAAGGCTCAGGATGTCAGAATCTCCATTAAGAACCAAGGGACAGGACCAGACGTTGGACTCTCGCCTTCCCGGTTCCAGCTGAGAAACCAAGTCAGCGGGATATGGCCTTAGGAGAAAAAAGGAAGGGGCTGTGGTGCTCAAGGCCTGTGGTCCTTGCACTCATTAGGCAGGGGGAGGAGGGTCGCCGCCAGTTCAAGGGCTACCTGGCCTACACAGTGAGAAGCTGTCTACAAAAGAAGCAGAACTGAAGTGAGCAAATTAAAAAACAAGTAAAACAAAACACACTTCTCTTTCTCTATTTCTCAGCGTGCACACGCACATGCACACAGACAGGTACAGGTAAAAAACCCCACTAAGACTGAAGAAATTTTAGGAAAGGAGACAACCACATTACTTACTGTGTATTACTTATTTTATGACACCCGCACAGATTTCCCAAACTAAATGACATGGAACATTTCTTAGAAGAAGACAGTTCTCGATACTGTAACAGCCCTCCGTGGAGACAAAGGTCTAAAAAGGCCAATTTCTGTAGAAGAAACCAAGGAAGCCCTGCTACCCCACATGAAGGCCCGGTTTAGGGATCCCCGACACGGGGCTCAAGGGTTTAGGATGCAGAGAATGAAGGGAAAGGGAAAGGGAAGTGTTCTTAGGCAACAAGTGACATCACTCCTCGGGCCCAACCATGAGACACTCCGAAGTCACCTCCTTTAGGGATGTTCATGCACAATCCCAGACTCCAGGGCCACAGTACCAATGGCCAGGTGGGATTTAATCCGGGAAGGCAAAAATGGATTCATATCAGAAAACAGGAAATTGAAAATACTCTTCCACTGGGTGCTGTGGCGCACGCCTGTAATCTCAGCACTCCAGGAGGCTGAGGCAGGAGGAGGACAAACTGAAGCCCACTGTGGGCAAATCAGGAAGATCCTGTCTAAAAACATACACATTCTGAAAAGGGCTGGAGATTTAGTAAGGCCATCTTGAAAAGAGGGACAGCTGGGGAGGCAGCTCAGTGACAGCCCTGGGCTCAACCCCCAGTTCGGCAAACAATAATCCGGGCAAATTACGGTATTTTTTTTTTTTTTTTTGCAAAACCCAAACTCTTCCTCCCTCATCTCAGTTTCTCTTGGTCTCAATATGTTTGTCTCCGTCTCCCTGTGTCTCTCAATCTCAGCCTCTCTGTCTCTCAGCGTCAGCATCTCTCAATCTCAGTCTCGTTTTTTATTTTTTTTGGTGGAACTGGGGATTGAACTCCGGCCCTTGCACTTGCCAGGGAGGCGCTTATTCCACTGGGCCATCTCCCGGGCCCCTCAATCTCAGTCTTCCCGAGGGTTTCTCAGCATCAGTTTCTCCCACGTCTCAGAAGCTCTCTCCGTCTCTGCTGACATGCTATAGTCACAGTGAGACGGGCCTGGGGTCAGTAAGGTGGGCCCCTGAGGAGATTCGGGGTGAGGCCTCGCTCCAGAGGCGGCCATGTTGGCGGGCGCCCATGGCCGCCAGTCAGCGCGCGCCTCACGCCTCGCGCCTGCGCAGCACGCGCCGCCTAGACCGGCTCGGGAGCTCCCAGGTCCCGCCCAAGGGGGCGGAGCCTCTCGACCCCGCGCGCGGCGTCCAGCCAATCAGCGTCTCGCCTGCCTAAAGAGAGCAGGCTCTTCCCGCGAGGACCCCGAGTTTCCTCAGAGCGGTCGAGGCTTTGAGGCGTGTTGGTGAGGCGGGAGCAGCCGGCAGTCAGCGTCGCCTTACGGGGCTCTGGCGGGCGGACCTTCAGGGGCTGAGCGGAGCGGGGTCTGTGAGGAGCGGGCGCCGGGCTGCGCGGGACGCGCGGGCAGTGTCCACGCAGGGGTCGGGTGGGGGGCGCGAGGCCGGGCCGTGGGGAAGAGGGCGGGTGGTGGTGGTGGCGATTTGCGACCCATGCCCCAGTCCTCGGCACGCCAGTGCTGTGAGGGCCCCGCGGCCGGCCGTGCGCGGGCAGGGCCGCCCCAGACCCTCCTGCCTCAGCAGCGGGTGTGGAGGCGACGGGCGGCGTTCACGCTTCCCGCCTTTGAAGATTGACAGACGGCCCGCGCCGTCCGCGCCGTCCTGCCCCGCGGCCCGCCCAGCTCGCGGTGCCGCCCGTGCAGGTGCCCCGGGAGCGCAGCATGGTACCCACCGGGAGGAAGCGCCCCAGCAAGGCGACCCGCGCGGCCGAAGAGCAGCCCGCGGAGGCCTACGACTCGGAGAAGGACGAGCGCGGGCTGAGCGGCTCCGACGACGACGTGGAGGCGGCGCCCGCAGGTCCTGCGCCCGTGAGCTGCCCGCACGATTCCCCATTCCGGGCTCCAGAGCGTCGCGCCGCGGGTGCCCATAAATCCCAGTCCCCAGAAAGCGCCCAGGCCTTGCAGAAAAAGAAAAACAAACAAACAAAAAACAGCCCACAGTAAAAGCATATTATTATTATTTTTTGCTCCGAATGCCTTCAGGGCAGGTTTGGCTCCCTTGAGTTGTGGGGGTCCAGCCACAGCAACCTGAGCCTGACTGCTTTGTTGAAGCAGCCACTTAAAGACCTGAGCTAAGGGGCAGGCCCCCGTGTAAAAGCATATTAGCAGACTGCCTGGGTCACCAAAGTGAGGGTCTTGCTTTACTGCAGTGTACAAGAAAGCACACTGCATTTTCTTTCCCTCTTTCTCTGTCATACAGGAAAGATGCCAGGAATTGACAAGCGTGGAAAGAAAAGGTCTTCCGCAGAAATACTTGAAGATATGGGGTAATGTGTTCAAAATAACTAAGAAAAATTCAGTATGCTTATCTAACAGGTATAATGAAAAGTGTTTGGCGTGGGATATTTCTTCTACATGTAATGTTTTATGGATTCTTAATTAGAAGTTTTGTTTTGTTTGGCATTTGCCATGCTGGGAGTTGAATCTAGGGCCTTGAGCATACTAGGAAAGCGCTCTATCATGGAGCTACACCCCTAATCTTCAGAGCTTTTAAAATGTTCACAGCGGTGAAGTACAGAATATGCTGGAAAAATTTGGAGGTATGTCTTTGAGATACTTGATTTTAAATAAAATTGTTTTAAACTATTGTAATTTGTATAGTAAGAACTGTTAATCTGACTCTTGAGTGTTACTTAATGCCTTGTTTCCAAACATATTTGTGATTTAACTTCATAGGTTTCCTTATTTACTTTTTCAATGATATAAATGGGAATAGTTTGTAGACATATAATTTTAATGAAATTTTAGAAGAAAAATAGATGCATAAATTATTTATATAATTGTACAGCTCCATTATCCTTACTGAAAGGTAACTAGTAAATCCATAATAAAGGTATATGGTAGCAAAGTATTAAAATTTTATAAAATATAGTATTTAGTGGTAAAAATATCCTGTAAAAACTCCAGAAGTATTTAAAAGTGTTCTCAAAGTTATCTAGATACTTACACTAAAATGTTTGTTGTCTTTAGTCTTTCTTTTAGTAAAAGATACACTTAAAAATATATTTTTTACAAATCATTTTGACTTTGATATTATTTTGTGGGGTTATTTCAAATTCTAACAATAATTGAACCAAGTGTGTTTTTCAGTAGAATATTTTATAAATTTAGAAAAGCAAAGCCTTTATCAAAGTGGTTTCCCATGAGAACATTAAAGTCTTTCTTTGATGCTTTATTGGCTCTTTAAAAAATCATATTTAAAAATTATTACTTAGGAATATCAGAATTGGGATAAAGTTGGATATTTCTTATCCAAAATCCTTGGGACAAGAAATGTTTCAGGTTTTGGAGTTTTTGGATTCAGGATATTTGCAGAGCCTTTACTGGTTGAGCATTCCTAGTCTGAAAGTCCAAAGTCCTAAGTGGTCCCAAATATAAACTGTTTGGAGCATGATTTTGGCACTATCTTAAAATTTAATATTATATGTTTTTGTAATATTATGAGAGAACTTTTTACATATTTATGTATTTACTTGAATATATGGGAACAAAATAATTTTCAGTAGTAAATTTTAATATTTATTTTCAACATAGCTGATATTAACAAGGCTCTCCTTGCCAAGAGAAAAAGACTAGAAACCTATACCAAGGCTTCTTTCAAGTCCAGTAGCCAGAAAATTGAACATGTTTGGAAAACACAGCAAGAACAAAGGTAAGGTGACTGCTTTTTTATGGGTACATTTGGATCATTTCTTAGTATATATAACTACAAATTACTTAGGAAAATGACTGTCTTCTGTTTATTGGCATCTCTAGTGAGAGTATATTTGGCCTAGTGGGCCATAGAAATGCATACTTGTTGTCCTAGCACTTAAGAGGCCAGGGCAGGTGGATCTTAAGTTGTAGGTGTGTTTGTTTGTTTGTTTGTTTTGAGAATCTTTGGTTTGAAGCCAGCTTGAGTACCTAGACCTGTCTGAAAAAGAGAAAGGGGGAAAAGAGGGAGTAGAAAAGATACTTGTCTTGACTTTCCTGTAAATAAATGGTGAGATTGCTTTTTGAAGTAACAACTGAGGCTTATTTTAATTCTAAATGTAATTTTAAAAAAAAGAGGGCATCTAAATGTATATTCATTCTGAAAATATACTAATAAATGTCATAAAAATTTTTCTGATAGTTAACTATATTAGACAATGTAGAAAAAGGTTGGCTTTATATTATAAATTTCATGTATTTATGTCATAAAATTATGTTGTATTTTGTGTATTTATATTGTAAAATTTGTTTACTTTAGCTAACTATTCCTTTTTTAAAATTAATTAATTTGTGTGTGTGTGTGTGTGTGTGTGTGTGTGGCCAGCTGAGCCCACTAGGGGGCGGGGCTGGCTGGCATGTGGTGCTGGGGGATTGAACTGCAGTCCCTGTGCTTTGCTGAGCTTGTTCCAAGTAGGTGCTTTAGACCACTGAGCCATCTCACCAGCCCTAACTATTCCTTTTTACAAAGTCATTGCCAAGAGAGCTGGCAAGATAGCTCAGTGGACTAAGCACCTGCTTAGGGAAATGCAGGGACCAGGGTTCGATCCCTGATACTGCATGTTGCACTGGCCCTTCCCCTGGGCATGCTGAGCCAGCCGCCAAGTCCCAGCATGGTGGCATACCCCTGTAATCCCAGTGCGGGGGAGGCTGAAAACAACAGGATCACCATGAATCTGAGCTGCGTAGTGAGACCCTGTATCAAACACATTTAAAAATAAAATTGCCAAGGGCTGGAGATAGAGCTCAGCAGTACAGCGCCTTCCTGGCAAGCATTAGGTCTCGAGTTTGATTGCTAGTATAAAAAAGAGTCATTTTAGCAAAATGGGAAAAAATTAAATATTTCTATTTGGGAATTATTTAACCTATTTTTCTTACCAGAACCTGTATTAATTAGGATGCATAAAAATACAGTCCTTAATGGTGTTAGTAAATAGGATCTCAAGTCCGCATCTTGTACAGCAATTAACCACTAAGAAAAATGTATGCAGTGTGTTAATTATTGAAACTGTCCTAGCGATTTGATTTGAAACTGTCTCATTGCTATTTGTGTATCAATAAAATTATGAAAAACATTTTTTAAAAAATGCAGTCCTTAGAAATCAAACAGATTTTCTGGGAAATTTACATGGATAATAAAATTTACTTAGTTGTCAAGAGCTAAAGCACGTAAGACCCTTCTTTTAGCTTTTAGGAAAAATATTTCTGGAATTGACATAAGATCTGACTTTTTAGTTACCCCTCAGCATAGTTCAGCTGCTGTTATTTCCTTCTGTTTTTTACAGTATACAAATAGATCAGATCAGTTTTGAATGTTTTTTTTTTTCCTACTGTATGAAGTGTCACAATATTCACTCCCATGTTTTTCAGGCAGAAACTTAACCAAGAGTATTCTGAACAGTTCCTGACTGTGTTTCAGCAGTGGGATACAGATCTGAAGAAAGTAGAGGAACAAGAAGAGAAACTGATGGTTGGTATCAGTGTGGCTTCCTAATGAGCCTGTCCCGGCCAGCTCTTGGGCAGGGCTGGAAGGGAGCCAGGGGGAAGCACATTTTGCTCCCAAAGCAGGCATGGGCTGCCTGCGTTGCTCAGGATTCTTACATGTTCAGATGATGGGAACTCATCAGAGGACAAGAGGAAGATTAGTGGCTTACAGGAAAGAAACTGCGGGGAATTTGGCTTTTGAGGCACAGCTAGGTGAAGGCAGGGAAGGTTGCTCATGTGGAACAGTTGAGGTTCACTCAGTTCACCAAACAGGATAGTTGCTGCACTCCTGCACTCAGTAAATCAGTAAGGGCAGTGGAACAACAGTCCTTGGTGGCCGTAGCAGGAAACCCTGCTTGGGGACTCTCACTGATGCAGTTTACTGTCTGCCCACTCCTGAGCCAGTCACTGAAGTCAGAACGTAGTTTATGCTGTTTTTTTCCTGAGAGGATTGGGGCTGGAATCCAGGGCTGCGTGTGTGCTACGCAGGTACTCTGCCTACGCAGGTACCGAGCCATGGATCCAGCTAGGAACACACTTTATTCTTCATGCCCACCATGTTCCCTGCCAGCCCCCAGGGCAGATAGCAGTCATATCTGCGCAGCTGTATAGCTTCACTCACTGCTCCTCCAGTGGTCCTTTCACTATTACTAATGACCAGACATTGCTTAGCTGAGAGCTGAGGTACTAGTCTGACCAAGTGACTCTGGAATCAGCTCAAAAAATACGGAGAGGCTCAGCAGCATGGGTGCGAGTCTACAGTTTAGGAGAGATGTGGGCTGAGGATGCAGAGTTGGGAATTCTCAGCTTGGAGAGGTTTTCAACTGGGATGAGATTGCCAAGGCAGGAGCTGTATCTATAAGGGGAAAATCTAAGGACAGATCTCCTGGGGGATGTCAGTATTTCGAGCTCTGGGAGATGAGGAGAGCCAGGAAAGGACCCTGAGAGTGTGGCCTGATCACAGCTGGACAGCAGAGGCCTGTAGGCCAAGCAAAGCCGTTTAAGGAAAGGACCAGACATAGTAGCACACACCTATAATTCTAGTACTGGGGAGGCTGAGGCAAGAGGATTTCTGTGAGTTCAAGGCCAGCCTGGGCTACATAATTCAAGACCAGCCTGAACTAAGTAGCAAGACCCTGTATCAAAAAAAAAAAAAATAAATTTAAAAAAGAAAATATCCCTGAAAATAAAGAAAAAGGAAAGTTGGATAAAAAAGAAAAGAAAAGAAATGTTAATTCTGTCACATGCTACCTGCAGACTGACAAAGGTAGTCTTTTTATAAAAAATGTATTTGGTACAGGGTCTCACTACACAGCTCAGACTCAGTGATTCTCCTGTTTTCAGCCTCTCCAGGGCTGAGATTACAGGTATGTGCCACCATGCTTAGACTCAGTGGCTGGCTCAGTGCGCCCAGGGGTGGGGCCAGCACTGGGCTGGTGCCACATGTGGTGCTGGGGATCAGTCCCTGTGCATGCCTAAGCAGGGGCTTAATCTGCTGAGCTATCTCACCCACCCGGGGGTGGATCTGGCAGTTTCATTAGTGTAATGGATCAGAATAAGTCTGGTGGAAAAGTGTGAGATCTATGTGAAAGTCTGATTAGAATGAGTATTAGACAAAGAAATATAGTAACCTGAGGAGAAAAGGAATACAGAGTCTTTTTTTAAAAGAGAAATAGTAGCATGTTTGTGTGTGGGCAGAATACCTCAGAAGGACAAATTTAAAGTATTAGAGAGGAACAGTTGCTGAATTCTTGAGAAGAGATAAGCATATGAAGAAGCTGGCCTTATAAGGAACAAGTTCATTTTTAGAACAGGCAAGAAGACAGAGTATCTGAGCACACACAGACCTGGGTGGGGCAGATAGGGCGATGGGAGACCACCTCTGAATTGAGTGACATAAGGTCAGCAGATGGTAGAGGCGTTGTCCACGGGGAGTAGCCAGAGAGGTACACTGTACAGACTAGGAGTTTGGCTAAGTAAATGTACATAGCTGAGAAGAGGTTCGAGGAGTAATTACAAATTAGCCATCAGCACTAAGCCTTGGAAAGAGGAAGGGTGGGTTTGGTGCTGCATGCTATAATCCCTGCACTCAGGAAGCTGAGGCAGGAGGATCATTTGAGTTTGAGGCCAGTTTGATGCCATATAGCAAGACCCTCAAAAAAAAAGGCAGTGAAAGGAAAGGGAGGACAACAAGGGCAGGGATACAATGAGAAGTAGAACGAGCAGATTTTAGTACCTGACCAATTACTGGGCTGTGATACTAAAGAAAGCAAACTAGAGTGGCCAAGAGGAAGTGGTTGAACCCTGGGAAATGGGGAGAAAGTGTATATCCCAGCCTGGACACATACAGTGGGGATCAAATTGTGGTTTGAGATGTGCAGCTTTAGATTATTTACCTTTATGCTTCAGTCTCTACCAGCTATAAAAGGGACATGGTACCTACCTCCTATAGTTGTTGGGAAGGTTAAGTTTGTATCCATTTATTTAAGAGGTTTCAGAAAAGCAGATGACATAGGGAATGTTTCCCAGTATCTGTGCTATAATGAGGTTGTTTTTGGTAATGGTAAGAAGTAGGGTATAAACATGTAGGTGAATTGGCTCAGGTAGGGTGAAGGACGAAGTCATTGGTGGAAAGTAGGTTAAGGATGTGAAAGACCACCATTACTGGAAGATCACCTGTGTGGATATTGACATTCCCAAGAAAAGACATGTTTTGAACATTAGGACTTTCTGCTTAGTGACATTGAAGATTATTATACAGCATATTAGTGGCAAATTATCTAAGATTGGTTATAATAGTTAAAACAAAATGTTAAAAACATGGATTTAGGGGCCGGGAAGATAGCTCAGTAGAATAAGCGCTTGCTGGCAAGTGCAAGGGCCTGAGTTCAATCCCCAGTTCCACCAAACAAACAAACAAACATGGATTTAGAAACTATTCTTTTTAAGTTAAACATAGGGTTAGGATTTCTTTTTGCTAGTTTAAAACCTTTGGGCTGGGAATGTAGCCCTGAGATAGAACTTGCCTAACATGTGTGAAGTCTTAGGTTTGAATCCTAGCATTGCCGGAAAAACAGATTTTTACCTAATTGTTATTAGTGTTTTGTTTTTTTTTTAATATTTGTAGAATATACTGCGACAACAACAAAAGGTTTTTCAACAGTGTAGAATTGTTCAGAACCAGAGATTGAAGACAGTTAAACAGCTGTATGAGGAGTACATAAAGGTACGTTATGGATGGTAATTAATAACTTCTTGTGCAACCGTGTATTTATGGAAGTAGTAGATACGTTTTGCCTTCTAAGTTTACGGAGAAAAACAATTTTTTAATTAATTAATTTTTTTCAGAGAAAAAATTTTGTTTATGCATTTTACATTTTTAGCTTTTCAATTCTAGAAACAGAATTCACTGTTTTTTATTTAAGTGATAAATATATCTTTAGGATTCTATTTTCATGGGCCAGGGAGATAGTTCAGTGGCATAAGCACCTGCTTGGCAAGTGTAAGGTCCTAAGTTTGATCCCTGGTACCAAAAACAAAAAAAAAAGGAAGTAGCAGAGTGGTCATTAATCCACAGTTTAGTAACGCTTCAGTGAACACTCTGTTTAACTTAGAATAGATATTCTTTGTTTTTTGGGGGTTTTTTTGCAGAACCGGGGATTGAACTCAGGCCTTTGCGCTTGCCAGGCAAGTGTTTATAGACTAGATATTCTTGAATCTTTACTTTTTGTTTTGCTTTTGCTTCGGAGACAGGTCAGCTATGTAGTCCAGGCTGGTCTTGAACTCACTGTGTAGCCTGAGCTGCTGTTGAACTTGAGGCAATTGTGCCATCTCAGCCTTCCCAGTACTGTGATTATAGATGTTTGCTACCACATGTGGCTTTATATTTTCAAATGTTTGTAGAAATATTAATGACATATTTGATTGTACAGTTGCTGCAGTAGGCCGGTGTGGTGGCACATGCCTGTAATCCTAGCACTTGGGAGGCTGAGACAGAAGAATCACTGCAAATTCAGGGCCAGTCGGGGTTACAAAGTGAGTTCAAGGCCATCTTGAACTACATAGTAAAACCATGTCTCAAAAATAAATAGTAAAATAAAATAAGAGGGCTGGGGAGATAGCTCAGCAGAATAAGCGCTTGCCTGGCAAGCACAAAGGCGTGAGTTCAATCCCCGGTTCCACCAAAAAAATAAAATTAAATTAAAAAAAATAATAATAAAATAAGAATTTCTGAAGTAACCAAACATGACTTAATATGCCAATTCATAATCATAAAAGATAGCCCACAATACAATAAACACCAAAGATTAAAAATTTGTGGGTTGAGAATTATCTACTGAACATATGCATTTAACCAAATTGTGGTCTAAATAATAAAAGTGTTTTAAATATTTTTAAAGAAATTTAAAATAATTTATATTAACATGTTATTTTTAAAGTGTTTGCAAGTAGAGAACTTGCCAGCTTGTCCAAATGCTCCCTGACAACCACTTTCTAAGTGCTGTCACTAAATGTTACCATTTAGGGTAGGATTTGGAGCATAAACTCAGACTCCATCTCCTTATCTTTCACAACAAGTTATTATGAGAGGCTATAATTTTACCTCTGTAGCGGTTCATGATTTCTTTAATTCCTAGTGCTATTACCTTAGTTCAGGACATCATCCTTTGCTTATATTACAGTTTTTTGATTTTTCTGTCTAGTCCAGTCTTTACCAGTCTGCCATATCTTTCTAAAATACATCTTTCCTCTTGAAAAACAGTAGCTTCTCATGTCAAACTCTTAGGTATCTGAGATGCCCTGTGACAAAACTGTAAGCTTCACTTTCTATACATGCCCATCACTCCCAGCCCTCGAATCACTGCTTCCTTTAACTCACTGGCTACTTCATGTTTTTGCTCTTTGTCCTTGAGATTACTTTTAATTGGATTATATTTATTGCAACTCTGTTATTTCGCAAACTTAACTGAAGTTAACCCCCACAATCCCTGTTTTCTATGATACAGTATCAGAAAGCTGTGTTTTCATTCCTAAAGTTTTTTCCTCACTGAATGAAACAATTGTATAGTTTAATTTCTTCACAGCACCTAATACTTTTATGCAGTAAGCACTAAAATAATGATCTGTTGAAGAAGAGTAAAGATTTAAAGTATAAATCAAGGGCTGGTGAGATAGCTCAGCGGACTAAGTGCCTGCTTGAGCAAGTACAGGGGCTGGGGTTCGATCCCTGGCACTACATGCTGTGCTGGCCCCACCCCTGGGCACACTGAGTGGCAACTGAGATCTGACAACATGGCACTTGTAATCCCAGGGCTGGGAAGGCTGAAAACAGGAGAATCACTACGAGTCTGAGCTGTGCAGTGAGACCTTGTACCAAGTACATACCAAGAAAAAGCATAAATCAAGTTTTACCTAACTTGAAGAAAGCAGGCATACAGATAATTTTATTTCCACTGCTGTTAGTAATAAGATTATTCTGATGTTTGGGGAATTTAGCAGAAAATTTCAGAATTATGGCGCTTACTAATGGCCATTCCACCTAGTCTTTTTCTTTTTTTCCTTCTTGAATACTTGATAAATCCACTGTTTCCAGCAAAGTGTTTTACTGTTGTACATTCTATAATTATATGTGATTTATGTCTTATAAATTTTGCATTATGGTAGAATTTTTTGTCTTCATGTATTACTCATTTTTTTAAACTTGGAATAAAAAATAGGCATTATTTGAATATTTAAAAAGTTCTTTTGGAAATCATTTTTACGTTTAGAACATGAGATGAAGTTATAATTTGTAACTGAGGGAGGCGTTTGTGTTGCAGAGTTTGGAGGACTTGGAGAAGAATCACGATAATCTACTCAGTGGTACACAAAATGAACTTAAAAAAGAAATGGCTATGTTGCAAAAGAAGATCATGATGGAAACTGTAAGTCTTCATATTTCAGGTTTAAACCATTGGGATTAGTGTCCGCACTGAAAGATTTTATTTGCTGAAATAGGTGTACCAGTTAACTGAGAATTAATGGTTCACTGTCTCCTCTTTCATGAAACAGCAGCAGCAAGAGATGGCAAGTGTTCGCAAGTCTCTTCAGTCCATGTTACTCTGATGACTCTTTGGAGACAGAACTTGAACCTAAGTAATGTGACACAGTTGTATCATTAGCTAAGAGACACATAAGTCTTTAGAGTAGCTTACAAATTCTAGTTAAATTTAACATCTTTAGTCATAGAAGTTCTACTTTATAATATCTTTAATCGTTGGCATGTTTAAGTGTAAGACCTTCCTTTCTGTTCACTTCAGATAAAATCCAGCTTTGTGAGGAGCAGCTATTCCTAAATTGTATGTGACCAGCTTTCAGCTCTTCAGTTATAATAGTGAATTTTTCTAACACTGTATTAACTTTTGTCAATAAAGAATATTCATATTTAGGTTTTGGCTTTAGTATATCTCTGTCCATCCTAAACATACACAAATTACATTGTTTTGTGGCACAGTGGGGGTGGGGGTGGGGTGGGGTGGGGTGAGATTTGAGACAGGGTTTTGCTGTGTTGCCAAGGCTGATCTCAAATTCCTGGGTGCAGGGGGCCAGGGAGATAGCTCAGTAGAGTAAGTGCTTGCCTGACACGAGCAAGGGCCTGAGTTCAATCCTCGGTTCTGCCAAAAATAAAGAAAAGAAAAATTCCTGGGTGCAAATGATTCTTGTGCCTCAGCTGCCCGAGCAGCTGGGATCACAGGTATGTGCCACCACACCCAGCATACATTATTCTTTTTTAAGAAACTCTTATATATGCACATTTTTCTGTATACTTATTAAATAAGATTTCAAAAGAAAATCAATTCTTTTGACTTAGACAATTTATTACAAGAGTTTAAGTTTTTATCCTAGAATAAATTAAACTGCCAAAATCAATATAACTGAACATTTATAAATATGAGTTTAAAGATATAAATTTACACATGTTGTTTCTAGGAAGATATCAAAATACCCTAAAATCAGGCTTAGTCTGCAGTTAAGTGACCCATGCCTTTGTAATGACCAGGAGTGCATCGTGACACAGCTAAGGCAGTGTAAGCACATCACATCCTCAAAGAGAGATTACCTTGAACCCCTTTTCTGTCTTAATACTCAAACACAAGTTTCATTTTCAAATTTCAACGGTTGATGTTTACACTTTTAAAAGGTGAAAGATTTATACGATTTGAAGAGAAACCAGAGTATGTGTTTACACTTTTAAAATGCACTTCTTAATACAGGAAAACATCAGATGCTTGATTAAGTGAAATTGTTTCAAAAATTTTTTGAAAACAAGTCAGTTAAACTTAATTTATTGAAATTACTTTGAACCATTCAAAATAAAAAATATCCCCATTAGGAGGAAACACCTTCCTCCTGTCCATATGTTTTAATATTTGCCTCTAAAAAAACACTTCTAAAGTTTTTCAACTTTTCAAAACAAGTCTGTAGAGATTGTGTGTGTGTGTGTGTGTGTGTGTGTGTGTGTGTGTGTGTTTTAGGATTAATACTAGGAAACAGTGAGCTATATCCCCGTCCATTTATTTTGAGGTAGGGTCTTGCTAAATTGTCCAGGCTGTCCTTGAACTTGGGATCCTCCTGCCTCAGCCTCATTGTAGCTGAGGTTACAATGTGTGTACCACCATTCATAGCCCAATTCTCTCCTTTTTTTGTAGCTGATAATTTGTTTAGGAAGAACTTAGGCTTGGTAAATATTTGCCATTTGTGCTGGGCATGGTAGCACAGGCCTGTCACAAGCTCTTCTGGAGGCTGAGGAAGGAGGATCTTAAGTTTGGGCCCAGCCCAGGCATTTTAGCAGGACCCTATCTCAAATTTAAAAAATGAGGACTGGTTAGGTGGCCAAGCACTCCCAGCTGCTGCTCCACTCTCCCACACCCTGCAGGCCCAGAACAGAAATCTTAAGTCCTAGTTACACAGCTGCCACAGCCGCTTTGACTTCACTGATGACAAGGGGAAATGCACGGGGCTCCTCTGCTTAATTCACCTAAGTGCTTTTTGCCTTTTAAGGAATGTCCATTTCTGCTGTTTTTCCTTCGGTATGTGCCTTTCTCCTGCTTAGTGCCAGCCCCCCGCGCCCCGCCATCATGTGGCCTGAGAACTAGAAACAGGCTTAGACGGGACCTCAAGATTTGGCTCCCCAAAGATCTCTGTGATAACGCTGGACTTATGAAGCACAGCCCAAATTTTCCCAGCTGAGGCTAGGACAGCAAGAGGGCCTACGGGGCCAGCCTCCTGCACTTCTCACCTGGTGCTCTTCAGGGGTGGCATTCTGCCTTGCTCTTATGGGTTACTGTCCATGTCGACTGATTTAGCTACTAGCTGGTTTTTCATTGAAGGGAAGATTTAATAACCACCTTTTTATGGCAATGAAATTTTAAGTATCAAGGAACAAGTTACTCTAACTATAAAGCCTTGAGCTTTTCTGAGTTGGTGTAACAAATTCCTTTCACTAGAAACAAATCATAAAAATTCCCAGTGCTCTTCAAGTCTACTTTATACATGAAAGCAGTGACTTCCTTTCCCACCACAGTAGTAGCACACCTCATGGGAAGTGGCTCGGAGAATCTCCTTCTCCACTGCTGTGACAGTGTCATAAACCATGCACGCTGTGGTGGTGGGAGCTCATTATGTCTTAGTGTCACTCTCAAAATGGCAAAAGTCACTGAAGTTCTGAGTTTCTATGCACTCTTGGTAAGGTCTGATGAGTGTTTTGTAGACACAAAGACATTTAGATGTATAGGGGTTCCACGCTTCTTTAGCCTGAGGGCTAAAATGTTTGGTCTCATTTCTTAGGAGTTTACAGGCTGTCCAGCTGTAATACCTGTGACCAAAATGTGGGTGATGCACCGTGAGGCGTTGCTACACAGCAGACACAGGGCATCTGCAGGACTTGTTCCTAGTGAACAGCCCCTTGTCCGACAGCATCCTGTGCCTGCAGGGCTGCCTCCTCGCCTAGGCTCCCTAACTGTTCCTTTCTTCCTCCGGCTATTAGTCAACATGCTTGTGAACCTGTTCTGGCGCTTGGTGACCGGAAATCTTGAAGATACTGAGGTGCAGGTGTCTTGAGATTTGTAGGCACAAAGCACTGAAGTACAGCAGCATGTCAAGTAAAGCAGTGACCTTTGGAAGTAAACAGGAAACGCGTTACAGTCTATCTTCTCTGAGCTTGGGGCATTTTTCTGCACTCCTACCCCCGTATCAGGTTCTGAACCTAAAATTCCTAATGGAAGACATTCCACTTTGGAGTATTTTCATGCGTCGGTGTGGGCCTCATCACAGCCTTCTGCAGTTCGCAGGCATTGCAGCTGCCCCAGCTGAGGCTCCAAGAGGGGAAGGTACCAGAGCAGAAAGCCCCAAGCATGCACCTCAGGTCTTCTCACGTCTACCTTTCTGCTGGGCACCAAGACACAAGTTCCCCATGGGAAGGGCTGCTGTCCCAGCCTCAGGAAGAGCACTCGCTGGCCGTGAGAATGCAGGAAGGCACAGCGCTGGGAAATCAACCCCTTCCTTCAGCAAGGGAGCCCACCACTGAGCCTGGGAGGGGATTCTCACAGAGTGGAGGTGGGGGCTCCCCGGCATTCATCAGGGAGTCCCTTTCTCTCTGAGGAAGGTGTTGCCATAAGGAAAAAGGAAAACTGAGTGGGGCTTCCTGCGTCCAGCAGTCTCATCCCTAGTGCAAACAGGGCCTGCTCACCCCAAACAAGTGTTGCAGTCAAACACCTGACACTGGAATCGGTACTTCCGCTGGTAACACACATGCCAGGTGCTCGCTCTGCAGCCCAGGCCTGCCTCGAACTCTTGGGCAAGCTGCCTCCATCTCGTGAGTGCTGGGCTTCCCCCAGGCCCAGCTGGGAATAACTTCAGTAGTACTCCTTTGGGCAGTACTTTTTAAGTACAAAGCTGTCTTCCCATGATCTGGGCCACTGGAAGCCCGATCGCCAGATATGTTGACTACTTTTACACACGATACAAAATGACTCACAGCTTAAAAGAAGTGATTTGAAGTATTCAGAAACATTTACTGTTAGGGCTGTGACACAAATGATACCTGATTGACATGCCATTAAACAAAATATGATCTGATATTTGTTGAAAATAAAAATCAGCAAAGCACTTACCATTGCTATCCACAGAACAATATATTCGTCTATAAAATTGTTAAGGTACTGGTCTAAAAACAAAAGACCGGGCCCAATGAAGATAGTGTCTTGAAGATACAGTTCGCTTTTAGTCATGTGAGCTATCTATAAAAAAAGGAAACAAAGTAATGTCACTGTTAAGTTTTATTTTCAGAAGAGGAATTATGACTTTAATTTACTATTAAGACAGAGACCTTTGCCTGGCAAGCCCAAGGACCTGAGCTCAATCTCCAGTTCTGGAAAAAAAAAAAAAAAAAAGACAGAGACCATTTGATCTTACCCTTTATCTGGGGATATTTATGTCTTCCAAATTCATGATTGGGTGGCTTATTAAACTTTGCAATGTTTAAATTTCTTAATGTGCAATTGATAATTACAGCCCAGCAAGTAACTACAAGAACTGAATGCAATGCACCCACATCACAGTCTTATTTAGAACACAGATGGCCATTTATTTTTTTATTTTTATTTTTGCGGAACCAGGGATTGGACTCAGGCCCTTGTGCTTGCCAGGCAGGCACTTATTCTACTGAGCCATCTCCCCGGCCCCAGATGGCCACATGCTGTACTCTGATAACCGCGAAGGAAAACCTACTCAGCATGTGACGTCATCTCCAGCTCTGGCCTGAGGACAAGGTTCAACATTTGCATCATAAATCGTGCAAGAGTTTCTTACCACTAGTTTCTGTGCAACTTTAGCAAAGACACACCCGAACATCAGGGTGTAAAGACACGGGTGCTTTTCAAACAGGTTTGTGGCCGACTTTTTATAGATCATTACTGCCAGGATAAAAATCAGTCCTATGTGGAGTCCAGGCGACAGCACACTGGTGCCCTAAAATGAAGCAGAAATCACATTTCACCACAGAACTGTCACAAGGCAGACATTTCCCAAACATCTATTTGATCAAAGAGCTGAAGTCTTGAAATACAGAAACCTTTTCAACTGCCACCGAGCTTAGGGCGACACATGGGACTCAGTAGATGTCAGAGTCCCATGTTATGGTGCACATATGGTAAGCTAATAAACTACAAATTAATATGATTTATTCTGTGTCAACCTTTACCATGCCGGTGCCCATTCATTAACACTTGGGCTCTCAACTGTTTTTGTTGTCGTTGTGAGCAGGGTCTCACTACATGGTTCAGGCTGGCCTTGAACTTGCTTCTATCCTCCTGCCTCAGCCTCCCCACTGTTGGGACTGCAGGCATGCCCCACCCACCCAGCAATATTACAATAGTTCTGCTAAGCATATTTTGGAGAAATTTCAACATAATTTACTTTCTGAGTAATGAACTGCCCATACATGACCCCGTGGGCTCAGCAGCTCTCCTACTGCTCGTCCTCTGCTTCACTAGCTCAAAACACAAGTGCATGCAAGACCACACGGGGAACTCCCGGCTATAGTGAAACAAGGAGCACTTAGATGAGATCGGAGGCCACAAGCCTGTGGAAATATAAACAAATTTTAAAATAAAATGCTTTTGCGCTGTGTGCCTAAAATGAATTCTGGATAACATTTAGAGCCAGGTGTGATGGCACATGCACTGAGGAGGCGGAGGCAGGAGGAGTTCAAGGCCTGGGTGGGCTATATAAGGAGAGCCTGTCTCAAAAAAACAAAACAACCAAGCAAAGAAAAAACAGCAACAGCAGCAGCAGCACCAAGACATTGAGTTTCTGCCCCATGCATAAGCTCTGCCTGTCTTCATTTCCGTCCGTAGCCGGTGGAAAGAAGATGCACCATAAGCTAAGAGCGATGGGCACCATGCTTACTGCTATCGTGGATCCATTCTTGCCAACACCGCCATGCAGGATGACGTGGAAATAACCGGCACAGGAAAACATAGCTCCACCTACCACTCCGAGCGCTGTAAAGATCTTCAATCGTATTTCTAGAATGGGTATCTTCAGGGCAGAGGAAAGGAATCGTTAAGAAAACAATCTGTCTCCTGTTCACTCGCAAAGAAACATACAGTACAGCCCTGTCCAACAAGAAATGCTTTCTCTTGTAATCAAAATTAGAAATACTGAGGGCTAGGCATGTAGCTCAGCGCCTGCCTGCAAGCATGAGGCCTCTGAGTTCGGTTCATGGCACCAAAACAAAATGAGAAGTGGTCAACTCACTTTTGAAATGGCTTTATGAAGTAACAAGTGAGTCCAAATCAGCTTAGGCTACTCCGGTTCTCACATCCCCACAGCTGCGCCTACAGCAGGATGGAGTGCATGCAAATCCTCGGGCGGCGGCACCGGGACTCAGCTCCCTTGGGTATTTACCTGCTGTCAGCTGTGCTCGGCAGCGTCCAGGGCAGCAGAGGAGTTAAAGAACAGTAGCAGTGAATTGCTGGCAGGGTTAGGCTGCTGCACTTTGAAAACGAACTGTGAAAGACTGCACCAGAACGTGTTGTGTGTTAAGTTCCTACATCAAAAGGAGCTGTTCCTCACTGGCGAGACTGGGTGGACGGGCCGGCTTCCTATGACACTGCCCGAAACAGGCAGGTTGGAGACACGCACATGTGACAACTTAGTACGTGGGTGACTGTCCCTCGGGCGGCTGGCGCTACTGGGGTCAAATGGATCTGACTGCTAGTATGGGTCTTTTTTAAATAAAATCAGCAGTCTATAAATGGACTGAATCTGGCCAGCTGAGCTTGAATACTGCCCAACATAAATATTAATACTATTCATGCCAATTTAAAAATTATCACAATAATCAATAAATTTCATTAAATTTAAAAGATGTATCTATATTTGTGAATACTTTATCAATAACTAGTTCTCTCAGGTATTTTTTTTTGCTGAACCGGGGATTGCACTCAGGCCCTTGCGCTGCCAGGGAAGCACTTTTGCACTGAGCCATCTCCCTGGCCCCAGTTCTCCCGGTGTTAACACAGGTATCTTCTGAGTACCCTGTTGCTGGTGCAGACAACACGCACTCACAACCACTGTCCTGGCATCAGCTGTGTTACACCTCCTTACAGCATCCTACTGTTCTCCTTAAGGAACTGTCTGTGGGAGCCCTCAGACTCACTCCCGAGCCGTGGCCACCGGACGCTGCTCATGTCCAGGCCCAGAGGCAGCTCGGTACACGGGCTGTGCACCTGTGTGCACCCTGAGGATACGGCTGGGGGTGGGCCTTGGAGGCCACCGTGCCTGAGGGAGCTCGAGTCTCCTGGGAGCCTCCAGAGACCCTGAACTGTGTTCTGAGCTAGGACAGTTCCCTCCCCTTGTGCTGCCTGCCACACTGCCTTCCCCAGTGCCCACACCCATGGAACCTCCATCACACAATGGCCCAACTGGGACACCTTGTTCACCCCAAACTTGAGAGCTGGTCCTTGGCTCCAGCAGTGCTAGCCTACCCTCCCTGAGCTAATACCTCTGTGATGCACAAGGCAGCCTCAGATCCTGAAAGTGCCCCACCAGGGACCACTGCACCCGGGGGACCTGTCACTTATCCTGAGTCACAGCACACCTCTGGGACCCGCGCATCCGGGGGCTCTCAGGCAGCATGGAGCGCCTGGCCTGGGCCCTCTGCAGTCGGTCTGCCTCATTCTTAGCTCCTGAATCCACCTCACTGTCCTGTGACTTCTCTACAAACACAGTCCCAGGGACACGGAGTGCGCAGGTGGTCAGGGCGGGCAGGCACAGGGTGACCGTCAGTTGCCATCAGCTGCTGACTTTATTCTTCTAACCTGGAGAGTGTCAGCACACCAGGCCTGGGGCATGGTGCACAATGCCTGGTTTCCTCCTCACGTTTCTTTTGATGCTGAACTCAAGTTTACACCAGTGGCTTCCAAAGGCCCCCTTGTACCTTAGGAAGATCTGAGGAGGAAGACCAGACCCCAGGTCTACAAGGCAGGCTGGCCCCTGGGGTAGCTGGGGACACATTCTGCCTGGTGCCTAGAATTTTTGACAACATACTTCTGAGGGTCATGTTAGCCTGGAAAATTTAATTTCTGTTTTTCCACTTTTAGGGAAGAGGGTCCCTTTCCCTTTCCATAGTAAAATACTGACAGGCCCTAAGGTAGATGTGCAGGGTGTCGCATTACACAACAAAGAAAGCTGGTCAGAAAGATGAGGCCAGGAGCTTCTCAAGAAAACCAACAACAGAATGGTTTGTCCTAAATGTTTCAAAGTCCCTGCAATGTGAACTGCAATGCTCGGGTTTACCGTGTAGTCCCACATGGTTGCTCCTCCGCACGCAGACAGGATGAAGACGATCACCAAGGCCATCTGGATCTCAGTCACGTCCACTCTGCAGAGGGAGGGCGGGAAGAGTGGCCACCGTCACAGAGACTCCTCGATGCGCAGGCTTCCCCCCTCACCAGACAGAACTCCGAAGGCCCGAGCACCCCATAGGCGCCGGTTAGTCCTACCTGTACTTCCCCCATTGGATACTTTTTCTTTCTTAGTTTTCTGAGACAGACTGCTATGTAGCCCAGGCTGGCGGCAAGCTCACAGTGATCCTCCTGCCTCAGCCTCCCGAGCGTGGGGATGGTGGGCCTGTGCCACTAGCCTGGCTGACCTAAGTCTCTTTCACTTATAAGTAGGGAAGGCTCCAACAGCTTTTCTAAGAGACTTTTTTTCTACAGTCTAATAGATTAGTAGATGTTTCTTCCTATTAGTAACAGTAGTCACCATGTATTATACGTCACTAATAGTCAGTATAGTTGTTTTGACTCAACAGTTTTATTTTAGGTTTTTTTGGTACCCGGAATTGAACTCAGGGGCCCACGCCTGTGAGGCAAGCATGGTGCTGCTGAGCTATCTCCCCAGCCCACCAGAGTTATTTTTACCCTGAGATAGATAGATAGATTTTTTTAAATAGTCAAACAGTGTAAGTTGCTCTAGTCTTCCTCTCAGTCTGTCCTGAGTTTCCTCCTGGCTGGGATGCGTGGGGACCTCACTCTGGGCTGGACTTCGCCTCCTTTATTTTGTGAGGATTGTTTAAACAATGACTGGGAGTTTGTCAAAACCAGGGCTACAGCCCATCCTCCGGCGTGACTTCTCTGTGGCGTTCTGACCTGGACCACTTCCTCCTTCTCAGAATGGTTTGCTGTTTCCATCCAGCCGAGCTCGCTCCTGGCCTTCGTCCTCCCTGCAGACCCCTCCCTAGCTCCTTGCCGTCTGCTTCCTCCTTCGAACCCTAAACGCTGTCTGCAGAAAATTCCACCTGCAGTTTTCTATTCTCTGAAGAATTTTATCTTACTTACTATTCTCTGTATGTTAATGACCTCTACATCCATATCTCTGATCTATGTCTTTTTTCCTGAGCTCCATTTTCTTTGTTGTTGGTTTTGTCCTGGTCTGGCTTTGTTTTCTGAGACAGAGTTTGGCTATATAGTTCAGGCTACTTTTGAATTCCTTATATGGCCTGGTCTCCACCTCACTGAGACCTTCCTGCCTCAGCCTCCTGAGTACTGGCTGATAGGCGTATGCCACCATGCCTGGCTTTCCTGGTAACTGGGGGAAGGCTAACCCATTGTGCCACTCTGCAAGCACTTGGACACAACTTCCCTGTGTCTGCTACAGCCAAGAGTCTCACTGACCTGCTGGATATGACTGATAGGGGAGAGGGGTCCTTTTTCAACACCTGTTGATTTGACCTAAAGGCCTTCAGACTTCACAGGACATTATTTTATTATGTCCACTACATGCTGTTTATTTAGTTTTTTATTTTTATTTTTATTTATTTATATTTTTTTAGACAGGATCTTTCTGTGGAGCTCAAGCTGGCCTTGAACTCACCATGTAGCCTGGGCTGGCCTCAAACTCAGGGTGGTCCTCCTGATGGACAAAGGCCCTGTCAGGGGGTCTTGGTCAGGCCTCACGATGCACCGCGGGAGACACTTACTTTCCAAACCGCAGCATGCCCGACACGTAGGTCTGCCAGTGTGCACAGTAGAACAGGAACATCCCGAGGAAGGAGCAGAGAAACAGCCAGTCGGGGTGTGTCCCCAAGCGCACAGCCAGGGAGGCGCCGAGGGCCATCAGCACTGAAAGGAGGACAAAGACCGCACCTGAAACCACTGGTTTAGGGGCTGTACCCCTGGCGTTGAAACAGACTTTTTAAGAAATGAATTTTTGAGCTGGTGTGTCTGCCCACGTCTGTCATCCCAGCACTTGGGAGGCTGAGGCAGGAGGATTGCAGGGAACTAGAGGCAGCCCAGGTTACACAGTGAGTTCAGAGACATCCTGAGCTACACAGCAAGAACCTGCCCCAACAACCACAAACAAACAATAAAACTGAAATGAATCTGGGACTTACTTTTAAAACCCACAACTGCTCCCCAAGGTGGCCCTCTACACAAACTGGTTTGGGGCTGCCGGGGCTCAGTGCCTCTTGCTTACCCGATGAAACAGAGTCACAGCCATGGTCAAACAGCTCCCCCAGGGCTGAGCACGAGTTGGTCCTCCGGGCCTGCTTCCCGTCCAAGGCGTCCAATGACTGGTAGGTGAAGAGCCCCAGAGCACACAGGAGGCAGGCCCAGGCTGGCGCCTAGAGCAAGAGGGGCCGCTGCTGAAGGACGGCGGCTGTTTTCCTGTGAGCTACACCTCCAGCCCTTTCTAGGGAGGGGTCTCCAGGGTGTTCAGGGTCTCACTACTAGATTGGACTCATCGTGAGCCGCCTGCTTACAGCCTCCCAAGAGCTGGGATTACAGGCGCACGCCGCCACGCCCAGTCTCCACTGCTGCCTCAGTGCACCCGGAGGGCAGGGCCAACGCAGCAGGCCTGGCATGGACCCGGCCCCTAAGCCGCCTTACAGGTGCTTTCATGAGCCGAGCTATTTGGCCAGCCCTTCCCAGCCCTTTTTAGAAAATGGATTTCATTTTTTCCTTTGAGTGAGAAGCCCTCACACTTGTGATCCTTCTACTGTTAGTCTCCTGAGCAGCTGGAACTGTAGACAAGGGGTGCCGTGACAGGCAGATTACCCTGCTCCTCCAGATGAACTGAGCAGAGAAATGGAATTAGCCCAAAGCAGCGGCGGCGAACCTGGGCACCCTGCCACTCTGGGCTGAGGAGGGTATCACCAAAAGCTCTAAAAGGGTCACCGTCGCTATGAAGGACACAGGTGACCTGCTGGAGCCCTGACTGGATTCCTGCTCTACAGGCCTCCTGCCGCAGGGTCAGCCATGCCTACCTGGCGTGGTGAGCTCGCTCAGGGAGTCGGAGCTGGGAAGAACCCATAGGCGGGGTGTGGAGTGCACACCCGAGACACCGTGCTCTGGGAGGCTGAGGCAGGAGGATGGTGAGTCAGGGCCCAGCCCAGGCAACTCAGTGACTCTGAGAGAGCCTGTCTCAAAAGAGTTTAAAAAAAAAAGGGCTGGGGAGGCCGCTCAGTGTGACCACCCCGGGCTTAAACCCCATACCAATAAAGAAAGAGAAGGACAGAGACAGAGACAGGAAGGAAAAGGAAGCGAGGACAAAAGGAGCAGAGCTGAGAGGCCAGAGAAAGGAGCCCTGCAGTGGCCACCCCGCCTGTGCTGGGTGAGGTCCCAGGCCTAGGTCCCTGCCTCAGTCACCACAGCAGCTCTGTACCATGAGGGGTGCCATGACCCCACACATTGCTCTGACACCGAGCAGTGTCCGGGGCAGCAGAGTTGGGGCCCCGGCAGAGCCTGGGCTGGGAGCTCTCTGTCGCCACCTGACTGGGCACAAACACCTCAGGGACCCGAAGGTATGCAGTGGCCCTGGGGACTCTGCATAGGAGCCCTGAGGAGACTCAGCCCCAGAAATAGCTCATGCCAAGTCTGCAGCACAGCAAGTGCTTAGCCTGCGACAGCCGAAGCCTGGGGCCAGGTGGTGACAAGCCGGGGCCCTGTGTGCTGACGTCAGGCCAGGGCAGATCATCACCTGTCCAGAATGATACTCAGAAGAGAGCAATGGGCTGTGCTGGGGATGGGCGACATAGCAATGTCATAGATCTGTGACCGAGGCTCACAAAGACCAGAAGGCCTAGGACAGAGCAGATTTCAAGAGCGCTGAAAGCTTCCAAGGTTATGGAATCCATGCAGTGACGTATCCAAGAAGCACAGTGACTCCCAAGTAGAATAAATACATTTTTAAAAACTCAAGTCATGCCTGGCATGGTGGTGCACGCCTATAATCCCAAGACTTGAGAGGCTGAGGCAGGAGGATCACTGTAAGATTAAGGCCAGCTTGGGCTACAAAGTGAGCTCAAGGCCAGCTGAACTGCAGAGCAAAACCATGGCTCAAAAAGACACAAATAAATACCTATGTCCTAAAACCATCACTGAAAAGCTGTGGTAGACAGACAGCCATACAAGGAGCCAGCAGGACGTGGGATAGAGATGCCGTAGGAGCAGCGGACGGTGCCCACTGTCCACGCTCAACAGCAGGAAAGGATTTCGTAACCATCACTCTTCCGCTTCAGCACGTTTTCATGATAGCCACTCCTGCATACCTCTTAGTTTGTATCAGCATTTCATAATGTATTTCACCTCCTCGGGGAACTGGGCAGCCCAGAACTGGACATCTGACAGGAGGAATGATGCTCCAAGCCGGGCATGGAAGTGCACTCCTGGAATCCCAGCCCTCGGAAGGCCCAGGAAGGAGGATCGCCGCAAGCCTGAGGCCAGGCTGGGCTGCACAGTGAGTTGAAGGCCAGCCTGAAGTATACAGAGAGACCCTCTCTCAACACACACACACACAGTGGAGTTACACGGGGACTCTCCTCCCTGTCGGGGAGCAGGGACTTCCTGCAGTGTGGTCAGAAGTGTGGACGTGGGTCCCGCCTGTTCCGTGGGCACCTCTCACACATACAGGCTGGCTGAGCTGGAAGAATTAGCTTACTGGTGCCTCAGTCTCCCCATGTGAGAAACAGCCATGATCCCAGTGTCAGGGCCGGGAAAGGCCCCCAGAAAGGTGGTGGCTGCTGTTACTGGTGGTGCTGATGCTGTCAGGTGACTCCCAGTGACTCCAGGCACACTTTTTGGTATTTTATGTGTTTCATGTATTCTGGAGAAACTGCATGTATTTTGAAAAGCTGGCTTATTATATCGATGACTTCATAACTCGAGGCTTAGAATGAGTCCAAGCTGTAAAAGGCGGCTGGTTTAAAGTCAAGGTGGAGAACAGCAGTAAATAAAATCTGGTGCAGGTGAGACACAAAAGCCAAACTCTTCACATGGATTTTTATATTTTAAAAACCACCTCTTGCATTGAATGCCCTCTTGTGCACTGTGGTCGGCAGGGAAGATTTCATGGTACCAAATGCCAAGTGGCTTCACTAGGAAAACAGAAACTGCCTCTCCAAGAGCTAAGAAGAAAAAAGAGCAGAGGATGTTCTGCCCGGGCACGAGCACCGGCTAATACCTACCAGCGGTGTCCTCTGTCCCTGATTTGATGATTTCATTTCATCTGCTCTTCTGCCAGCGTCTCCCAGGCTGGCCTTGAACTCTCAGGGATCCTCCTGCCTCAGCCTCCCAAGTGCAGGTTGAAGATTCCAGAATGATGTTTCCGGTCCCCACTTTAGCCACCTGGTCATGGCCTGGTGATACCCACTTCTCAAACTCATCTTTCTGTTGTAACCCTATTCACCCTTGTAGGCCATTTTGATTTTTCCACTTTGAAAAGAGTGGCTCAGACCCCCACCTTGTTCCCTTTTCACAGATGTGTCTGAGTACAGGTGTGTGCCCAGCTGAGGCAGAGGCAGGAGGATCATGGTGAGTTCGGGGCCAGCCTAGGCTACACAGTGAGTTCAAGGCCACCCTGAGCAACACAGCGAGACCCTGGCTCAAAAATAAAATCAATAAAATGTGTCTGTTCCTAAAAACTAATCATAAATGCACCTCTTCTATCAGGCTTCTCTTCTTTCCCTAAACAGAAGCTCTTTGGACAAGCTTGTAACCCCTTCTTTTAACTCCTAGCAGTTCTGAAATTAATAACATTTCGAGGTTGCAATGTAATTAGCCAATCTCAGAAACATCCACACGCTGCTACCCGCCTCTAGGCACCATCAGAACTGTTCTATTGTGCATTCTCAGGGTACTTGTTACAATCCATATGTTTTTAATGTGTCGACTACTAGTTTTCATTCATTGAGTAAATTAGGACGTTCTACACTTACCTGCACCTAACCTGTCCTTCGGTCCTGTCTTCTCAGTTTTTTGTCTGTCTCTTTGAGACCGGGTCTGGCTAAGCAGTTCAGACTGACCTTGAACTCACTATGTAGCCCAGGCTGGCTTCAAATCCTGAGATGCTCCTGCCTCAGCCTCCCCAGTGCTGGACAGCAGGCGTGCACCACCACACCTGACTAGATAAAACACTTTTTAATAAGAGCTAGAAAGAACAAAGTGGGGCAGTAAGCATTTGCACTGCGCAGCTACCCAACCTGAACTCTCGTTTGCCCCACTAAACTCAGGTGCGGCCATAGAGGTCACTCAAGGGTTCCCTTTACGGGCCAGAGATGTCACAGGATGTGTGCGCTGTTTGTCAGGAGCCAGGCTAAAGCTGGAAGCGACCCTCACTCTTTCCGGGGCGCGTCCGATGGCAGAGCCTCGGCCTCTACCCCAGGTCCGCTCCGGCCACGGCTACAACCCCTCTGGCTTCCCGGCCCGCGGGTCGGAGGGCTGGGACCGCTCCGAGGGCAGCGAGGCGACAGGGACAAGGGCTCGTCCCGCCGAGCCAACGTCGCGCTCCCTGGCGCCGCCCTGAGGCGGCTGCGGCGTCCGCAGAGCGTCTCGGGGCCCGGCCAGGCGAGGGGGACAGCGGTTGGGCCGCCTACCTCCTCGGTGGCCGTGGGGCAGAAGGCGACGAGCACGAGCGTGGTGGCCAGGTTGAGGGCGATGCCGAGCAGCGTGATGGTGTTGGGGGCCATCCAGAGCGGCACCCAGCGCAGCAGCCAGGTCCAGAAGCGCTGCAGCGGCGGCTCCAACAGCGACACGCCCGCCGCGCTGTAGTGGTGCTCGTCCAGCCGCCGCAGCTGCGCCGCGCTCAGCGGCTCGCCCAGCGCCCGGGCCCAGCGCGG